AGGAAGAACGAGGTTTAAAAGTCATTTCAGTATTTGCTTCACTGTAAAATCCAATTTAAGCCACCTCGCCATCAAAAAGTTATACCTCAATCTTCAAACTGTCAAAAATATGGACACAAACAAAAAAACTTTCTACACCAAGTCTCCAGTTTGTGTTAAATGTGAAGGAAATCATAAAACCGCCAGTTGTCCAATAAAAGAATATACCGAAAACATAAACTGTGCCTTATGCGGAGAAAAGCATACAGCCAATTACAAGGGATGTGAGGTATACAAATCACTGAAAATCAAACGATATCCTATCTTGAGAGAAAAAGTAACACCCGTCCAAACAAGCCGTCAACAATCTTCTTACACAACAAACCATGCAACCACTAAAAACATCATATGCCCAACTCAGAACTCGCAAAGTTAACAGAAATTATGAAAACATTGATAACACAAATGTCAGGAATGATAAAAATTTTATCAACGTTGGTTACAAAAATCAATGGGTAAGTACAATGACTTGAAAATAGTAGCATGGAATGCAAAAGGTATAAGTAGACATATCAACGATTTGGAAACTTTTCTATACTCACGGGGAGGTAAGCAGATCTTAGATCAATCACTGAATAATCATGAAGCTTATAAGGAATACATAACTTAGTCAATGAGATGGGTGGGACCCTGAAGTAACCCCAGCTATCAAAGTGTAAAAGTGCCCAGTTGCGCTGACTCGAAAAAAGGATCAACATACATACATACCTACATACTATTAAACTCAGAAATGGATTTCACTGAAAAAAGCTATGTTAAAATATATAATTACACAATATTTCAAACCAACTATCCCGTCGGAAAAGGACACGCTGGAACTGTCATCTTCATAAAGAACTGTATGGTTAGCTCTGAATCAGAAAATCATAGTACAGAACAAATACAAGCGACCACAATAATGATTGAAGATTCTCATGGTCTATTAAAATTGGCTGCTGTGTATTGTCCTCCTAAATTCTCAAATACCAAAAATACGTATTTAAATTTCCTCAAATCTCTTGGTCGAAGATTTGTAGTCGGAGGGGATTTCAACGCGAAAAATTCGCTATGGGGATCACGTTTAAAAAACGCAAAGGGCAAAAATCTTTACACTGCATGGAGTGAATATAAAGCATAATTAAAAGTACTGGTGAACCATCCTACTGGCCTAGGGACTATAAACTAATTAAATAAAATTCGATTATTTCCTAAGACCACTGATGAAGAGTACTTGGCAATACTCGAAACAGCGTTGTATGGTCAGCCAAACTTCAATAAAATTAAAATAAATTTTTGTGTTTGTCCTTTCTTTCTTTTTTTGTTATTCAAAAAACATAAATGTAAATAACCTTTCCATTCACTCCGGCCTTTAGCTGTCCTCTGACCACTTACCGATAGTACTAGTCCACAGCATAATTCCTCATATGAACAATACGAACAATAATACTTACATTTATAAATCGTGTTGGGATACATATCGTGAACTACAAGTATCCAGAGCTCCTCAAATTAACACAAAGTTAAACAAATTAACAAAAGAGCTGAAAGAATTATTAGAGGTTAAAAGACAAAAAAATGTATTAAATTTTATCTTAAGTTAAGATTGAGTGCTACAAAGGTTACAAATTACTCCTTATGGAAAGCGACAAGGAGTAGTAATCGTGCCATACTCCATTGCACACCGCTTAAAAAAGAAGATAACACTTGGGCGCGCACAAATCAAGAAAAAGCAACTTAAGTGCACATTTACAAACCCTAAAAATGATACAAACCATGCACTACCCAAGGACCTGACCCAGAAGAACGTTAAAATTAAAAAGATTACAATTGCTGAAATAAAAACCATGGTCGCCGTTAACATCAACCCAAAAAATTTTCCCTTCTGTTTGGAAAGTAGCGAAGGTTGTAGCAATACCTAAACCAAACAAAAGTGCTTCAATTGTCAACTCTTACAGACCGATCAGCTTATTATCCATCTTATCTAAACTATTCAAAAATCTTCTTTTTTCCCGACTAGAACCAATAATACAAGAAAATTACCTACTGCCAAATCACCAATTTGGATTTCGTAAAAAACATTCTACAATTCATCAAATTAATCGGGTGGCTAACAAAATTGCAATGAATATAGACTCTAAAAAGATCACTGTGGGTGTGTTTTTAGACGTCGTCTGGCACAAGGATTGCTTTACAAACTATCAAGAATGTTGCCGGCCAATTTTTATTTACCATTGAAAAGCTACCTTAAAGATTGACACTTCTTTGTGCAACATCAAACCGACACATCCCACATGATAAAAATAGAAGCCGGTATCCCTCAAGAGAGGGTTTTAAGGCCAAACCTCTATCTATTATACGCTGCAGACATTCCTAAGCCAAGAAGTGGAGAAATGCTAACTGTAACGTTTGCTGCCGACACTGGAGTTTTATCAACAAACCATGACGTCGCAAAAGCAACTGTAAACTCTCAAAATCATCTAATCTAACTGTCCAAGTTATTTTTTCCAACAGGAAATTTGAAGAACAGAAACTGAAAATTGTTAACATTGACATACCCATCTGCAAGAAGGCCAAATATGTTACTTGGACATGCTATTAGACCAAAAGCTGACTTGGAAAGAGCACATTATTCAGAAGAAAAAGGAAGCTCATCGAAGATTTACAGATCTATATTGGCTTCTTGGTGAAAATTCGAGTCTGTCAATAGATAACAAACTACTAACTTACAAAACTGTTATTGTTCCGATTTGGAAAATTCGTGAAAATATGTGATCAATTATCTTTACATCGCAAAAAATTTTAAATCTATTATTTTCAGAATTTAAAGTACAAATTCTCAAAGCCTCATGGGTTCATATCTCTGAGAAAATAAATTTAAAAGCTTATTCTCATTAGAAAATAAGTTGAAAAGATTGATTCATATGAATAAAACTACCTCTATTCCAAATCACAAGGTAATGGGAGTTTTGTTCCCTATTCTCAATTCCCTTATTCTGAATCAAATAGGATTGGAGGTTTTTCCCCTATTTTGCACCAAATTTTTCCCAACCAAATTATGTAGGAGATAAGTTATAAAAGAGTTTAATTTAATATATAAGTAACTAATAATGATCAGATTTTTGAGTATATTTAAAATTATAAAATTATTTTTATAATAAAATTATTATAATAAATTTAATATTTTCAAATTTTTATTTTTTTATTTTATCCACACGGATTCATCAGTTTTCAGAATATTATATTATTATGTTATTATTAAAAGAAGGAATCTAAAAGACCTGTTGTGCCCCTAACTCGGATTAGAGCGTTTCTCCAAGTCCGATTTCTTTAATGAAAGACAGTATAGAGCCTATCTTTCCTAGACTTGCATCCTTATGATCCATGAAATACCCTCCCAGGTGTTTCTTCCGCTTGTGCATCTGTGCCGGACACTCCCCAAGCACATGGTATGCAATTTCTCATTTTTCTCTACAGTATCTGCAGCCTGAGTTGGATTCGCAGATCGCTTGTGAGATTTTTCAAAAGCGCTTTTCAAAAGTATCTAGAACTTCAGAAAGCTCTTTACTAAAGCTACACTCAGGTAGAGCGACATCGTGATACTTTTCACCCCCTGTCTGATAACCTCCTACAGTAAAGAAACGCAAACACCCGCTCAAATTAACAATTAGCTAAATTAAGCTGAAAATTGCTTCTATGCTGCTTGCATTTCCTATATGTATATATGGTCAATGCTGATTTATTTATTCCGTAATATTTTTAAAATGTATAATAAAAAATCATTTATTTTAAAACCAAATTAAATTTAAATTTGTAGTTACAAGGAATCGGGCAACTCAAATGGATTTGCAACATCTCGCAAATTTCTTCGATAGATCCTCTGTTGGAGCATTTCTAGCTCCTGCTCTTGAGCCAAATTCTCCGCTAAAATTCAAAATGCAATTAAATGCATTTTTAAAAGCTTAAATATTTTAATTAAAATAAACATTAACTGCACAATTATTTTCATTTGTTTTTGTTTATTTTCGCACTTTTCGCCATTAAAAAATTCAAATGCAGTCAATATTCAACAAAACAAATTTGAATTTTTTATTGCTCCCAAAACAGCTATCTCCCAAGCAATTTAGAATAAAGGAATCCTATTCGAGGGAATAAGGCATTTTACCAGAAACTTATTTTCTTGCCTACCGCTGACTAACGAGATCCGGGAGATTGCCACCATTAGTCCATAAAATATGTTTTTATTTCTTACGATATTATTTTTTTGAAAAATACTGATATATCTTTATAAAACGCATTGAATATTCTTCCAGTTCACTATACTTGGCTACCGCTGGCTAACGAGATCCGGGAGATTGCCACCTAAAAATACTGCTATATGTCTTCATAATATATACTAAATATTTTTCCGATCCACTATAAGGGAACGATTTTGGATAAGGGAACTGTTACTCGATCACACCAATGCATTGAAATAAATAAAATGCAATGAAATGGAAACCAAGCCAAATTAAATCAATCCCACCTTATAGTGTCTATTTCCGTGAAAAATTTAGTCCGAGTACAGCGACTGACAATAGCCTTTTACTATAATACATACACACGAATATCTGAAGATTTGCTTATTATTCGATTTAACTAGCAACTCTCGTTCGAGGTAAATCAATCAAAGAAGTTATTGTCTCTCATTAACCTAATTTTATTTAAATATTTTTAATTATAATTCTTAAAAAGTTTGTAAAATAAATAAATAATACAATTAAAATATAATGAAAAATAAAGTCAGCTAAAGTAACTCATTTCAATTAAATTGAGTTTTAAATATAAATTCAGGTAAATTTAAAAATTGCGTGGATTTAAAATATAAATACTCAAGACAATATTTCATATGTTATTAAATATTATACACATTTAAAAAAAAAAATATTTATATATATATTACAAGTGATAATACACAATCTTTATGTATACAAAAAATTTTCACAATTTTTTACCATTTTTTAAAATGATATCAATTTTTTAACGTCGCGATTCGCATAATCATAACCGTATTTTGGCCGTGTTTATAAATTTTAAGGTTACTAGTGCAATATAAAATTAATTAACAAAATGCTCAAATCAATGATACTTTTTTCAGCTCTGATCACGATTTTAAGATGGTTTCAAATAACACTTTTCCAAAATTTCGAGATTGAATCATTGAGTTGAGCGAAATAAAGCATCTCAAATTTAACATTTAAACTAAACCGTTTTCTGTGTAATATAGACAGACCTACTTAATTGCATATGATTCAATTTATATTTACATGGAAATTTGTTAACCTAATTATTTTATTTTTTATTAGGAAAATGTATTAATTTTTTGATAGTTGTACTAAACAAGTCAGCATATAAATAGGACATATCTTCATTTTCATATTTTAGTGATTTTTTGTGGGAGTTCTGGAACATAATTTTATGTAAAATATACAAATGTTAAAAGTACAAACGATAAATAAATAGCTTTAATTAACGATATTTTAAATGTTTAATAATGTAAGGCCCACTCATTATCAGCAATAAAACCATCAACAACTTCTTTCATGGAAAAATTCGGTATCAATTGATCTTGTGTTAGCTTAACGCGTGTAACTGGGTCGAAATGTCCAACGCGTTGTAGATGTTCCTCGATATCTTTGCGCTCATAAGTTATGCCTGATGGCGTTATCACAGGATCAGTAAGAATCTCAAAACTAATTTTGCCACACAAAAAATCAGGAACATCACGTTTCTAAAAGAAAAATATATAAATATATCAATATAGAATTCAGATACATATTTGTATTAAAAACGAATTAAATATAAAAAAATATAAAAGTAGAAAGTAATTTATTTTCAACAAAGCAAATAAATAATTGGATATTACATATAATAATATATAATAATCGTATATAATAAATTAAATATCCTCTTAGCATGACCCAAGCAAATGTCTCATCGTAAAATAAATCTGACTTAAACAAATCCCTATATTTGCAAATATGAATTCCTGGTGCATGTTTATCTCAGTTCGAATGCAAGCAAATATGTTTTTGTATTTACAATATTGTTCTATCATTGTTTTATCATTACTTATTCACAAATCGCTTAAATCAATATCAATCAATATCAAACCTGACATTAACCTTAATATAGTAAGACTTTCCGAAATCTAGCGTATTAACAAACAAAATACTGGACCTTCCATATTAATCTCGTAACCACATCCATATCGACGTAGTCTCTTATATATGCTATAATGTTCAAAGCTTTATAAGTCCACAAAATGAATAGAAAAATAAAAACATAATAATAATAAAACAAAATAATAATAATAATAATAATAAAAAATAATAATAATAAAAAATAACAAAATAAAATGAAAGAATAATAAAATAAAATGAAAGAATAACAAAATAAAATAATAAAAAAAATATATTAATAATAAAATGATAATAAAATATTAACAATAAAATAAAAATAAAAATAAAAAAAATAAAAATAAAAAAAATAATAATATAAAAAATAATAATAAAAAAATAATAATAAAAGTAATAATAATATTAAAAATAATAATAATAAAAAGCAATAATAATAAAAAATAATAATAATAATAAATAATAATAATTATAAATAATAATAATAAAAAAAAAAATAATAATAATTATAAATAATAATAATAAAAAAAAAATAATAATAATAAAAAAAAAATAATAATAATAATAACAATAATAATAACAATAATAATAAAAATAATAATAATAAAAATAATAATAATAAAAAGCAATAATAATAAATTTATTGTTATTATGACCAAATTTGAAATAAATTTTTTGATTATTACCGGGATAAAGTCGTTTATTATTATAATTGTTATTATTATTATTGTTATTATTATTATTATTGTTATTATTATTATTATTGTTATTATTATTATTATTGTTATTATTATTATTGTTATTATTATTTATTTTTGAGTTTAAAAACTTTTTATCATTGGAGAAAATTTGTATGTAGAATGAAGAGAGAGTATGCAAAGTATATTACTTACACGTCTCCTATCGTCAACTTTTGCAAAAACATTATTGAGCTCCTTGATATGGTCATCCTAAAATAATAAAAAATATACGATTAAAAAAAACATATATTAAGTATTATTTGTAGTCTACATACGCATTCCTGTTCAATTTCTTGCTGTTTCTCTTTCAGTTGGTCTTCGGAGGTTGTATCATCAATTTTTAACTTTGCTAAGCGGTTCTCCATATCGTCTTTTATTAGCCTATAAAAAATTGTTATTAGTTCATTTATTATGAATGATGTTTAGTAGTAAAATTTGTTACTCTAAACATTTGACTACTGTTAACCAACTGAATATTTAACATAACAATTCCTATAATTTAATAATCAATTCTCTGTATCAGGGCTGTCCAGACCAAATAGATCCCGGACCAATTCAATTCATTGAATAGATTGAAAGGACGCAGAAATAAATAAATACGTTCACAATCTTGTGAGAGAAAAATAATAATACAGCGATAATGTTAAAATTAAATAATGTTTTAATTTTTTATTAATTTATCTTTTACAATTCTATCAATATCAAGATTGTTAATATTAGTTGCTGTCATACGAAACATGTCTTATTTTTAATGTGATAACTTATGGCATTGGATACGTGTGTTTTGAAACAGTTGTAAAAGGAAACATATATTAAAGTCTTTGTCAATTAAGCAAAGTGTAATTTTTTTGGGATACCATAAAAATAAAATAATGTAGTTACCAAAATATAACAAAGAAAAATTTTTTTGATTGTACTAGATGAGAAAAATGTTGCGGGCCTCACAAAGATTAGCCGGGTGCCGCATGAAACCCGTGGACCGTGCTTTGAACTGCCCTGCTCTAGATAAAACGTACATAAGATGTGTTGAAATCAATGCTTCATAAACTAATTCCACAGATACCTAATTATATTTGTTGAAAATTTATACACAATTATGTTTCAAACTTTATATCAGAAATAAATTTTTCATCATTTCATTATTGATATATTACACTACTACAATTTAAACGACAATTCGTTATGGTATCTAGATTAAACTAGCAGAGTTCCATGACCATAGCGATGACTAAATTGTCAACAAACCAATCTCCTCTCAAGGGTTGCTTGACTATTACGTTATGAGCCTAATGCAAACTAGATTTTGGTGTTAATTCAATTAACTTCCAGCGTTGCATTTTAATTACGCCATAGCTACTGTCGTTTTGATAACAACTATCAACCAATAAACAGAGTAAAACTCAGTATCCAAGCTTGTTAAATATACTTATTCTGGAAAAAAAACCATTACAACATCCAACTGAATAAAAAAACATTCGTGTGAAAAGTATGTATTGATTCAAAATGTCACAACTATTGTCAAATTATACATAACACACATTAAATAATTTCCATATTTCCATAGATATATAAAGTTTACCAAAGAAGTAGAAGAATCTGAAAAACTTACCTATCTTGAAGCAATAGTTATAAGACACAACAATAAACTTAAAATTAATTGGTATCAAAAACCTACAAATACTAGACGATATATTAATTTCAACTCGGAACACAGCTCTGAATTTGATTATACGTGTACTGAATATCAGCGATCAAATTTTTGATAAGGAAAATGAAAAATTCTAATTGACATCTTGCTTAAAAATGATTATCCCAAATGCACGATATATTCTCTTCTAAAACAAGGGAATACAGCGCGTAAAACAAAATCAGATCCCCAACCAAAAATTTATCTTCCTATGACGTATATCCCTAGGTTTTGAGAAAATTTTAGCAAATCCAACTGCTATAATGAAGACACACACATTGACTCGCAAAGCCAGAAACAAGATAAAAATATTTTTTTAACAAAACAAAAACTCCAATGGACAAATTAGATGAGCATGAAGTCGTATACAAAATTCCATGTGGAGGTGACGGGCCTAACATATGCCAGTGGGCATATGTTGGTACAACAAAAAACAAACTTAGAACAAGAATCGCTGGTCACAAACACGACATAAAGAGCAGATCAACTCTCAATGACCAAAAGATAGCATTAGCAACCCGTTGTTCTATGATGAACTATACTCCAATTTTTGAAGAAGTATAGACGTAGACTAATGTTGGAAATGTTACACATTATTAAAGTTCAGGACAATTAGAGACTAAACTATAAAAAAGACTAAACTATAAAAATAGAAAAATTTAATATATAATTAATAAATTTAAAATTAGAATTTATCCTCCATTGTTTGTTAACTTAAAAATTTTCCTATTTTTTAATTTTAATTTCAAATTTTATTTTTTAAATTTATGTTGTTGTTGTTGTTGTTGTGATTTGAGTTAGTGCTATTGCGTACTTTTACTCTATTGTGGCTGGTGGGTTATCCCACCCTCATACTAAACTTTAACTATATTAGAATCAATATCATTTATTTATTTTCTAACTGATGACAGACCGTAGATCAGCATATCTTCCTGTGCGTTTTTGCTTTTGATTAAATAAATTTAAATATTAAAAATGTCAAACATTGAAAGAGACAATGTTTGTCATTTTTGGTTTATTGTTTTGGATATATGTTTATTTACATGTATTTAAATATGTAATTTCTTTCTTTGTTTATTATTACTATATTATAAATATTTTTAATATAAATAATTTTGTGTAATTTTTTATTTTATTTTAAAAACATTTTTATAAATTTATGTGTTAAATAAACGACCTAAGCCCAGTAACAAATATAAAAATAAATTATTCTTATTTATTATAAATAACAATAATAAAATTCATATTAAGTACTGATGTTGATTTAATCCCATACTTTTTTATAGCAAAAATTACACAAGCAATTATTAAATACATCAATGAAATAATTAATTTAAGTTAAATCAATTTAAGCAGATGCTAGATAGTAGATCTGAAAGGCAGCCCTACCAAAGCGAAACAACACACACTTAGATAGTAGAAACTAGGCTCATTGTAATATCAGAAAAAAGCATTATAGCCTGTTAGTTGACTTGTTGAAATTCTAAATAAATCATCACCTTATTCTAGACTTTGATATCAAAATAGCAATTAATGTGTTTAATAGGAACAGAAAACTCAGAGCGGAGAAACTTCTTTTGGCAAGTATTTGATAGTAGAAATGTATATTTCATGATACACAATTCGCTACAGCTAAAATATAAAATAGATAATGTGAATTTTCTGGCAAATTAAAAAAATGTATAATAAATCCAGCAAATAAACACATAAAGAAATTTATTTTTTATTAATAATAACAAATATAAATGCTCTTAGTTAGCTAAATTAAATATTTCTAGCATCGTTTGGATTTAACTCAATCGGAATGATGAAAAAACTATAACTTAAAGGATGTTCGAAAATATTTTCCATTACACTGCAAATAACTGGACGATTATACAGTGACTCCATCGCATAATCGGACAAGCATTTGTTCGATATAAATGTGCTCTAAACTTTAAAAAAAATCCTAAAAATATGATTTTTTTTTGCTTTAATTAATACTTAACATACTTATCTATCTGAATTATAAAAAAAATCAAAACATTTCTCATAATAACTATTAATTTAAAATAAAAAACAGAACCAACACAATTTTTTGGGCTCAACGTATAATCGGACAAAATTAAGCATTCATGCTAAAAATACTGTAATTTTACAAATATGCACTTCAAAACTACAATAATAATTGTCAGAACAATGTTTTTTACATTATTTATCTTAATAAATTAAAAATTATATAATTGTAAGATAAATTAGTATTAAAATAGCACCAAATGGAAAGCAATCTACTGTCGAAATTAGGCAATTAATAATTAAATTGAATTTCGAAGGTAAAACCGTTAGAGAAATTGTCAATTTAGTTGGAATAAGTCAATCTACTATTCAAAACATTATCAAGAGGTCCCATGATGAGTTTAGGCTGGCCAATAAGATCAGAGCAGCTTAAGGCACTATATTAAATGATCGAGAAGAGCGTTCGATATTGAAAGAAATAAAGAAAAATCCTTTCAAAACCGCAAAAGACCTTAAATTATCATTAAAATCCCGCCCTGGGAAAGATATATGCTTAAATACTATTCGCAATACATTACATAAATTCGATTATCACGGAAGAATTGCCAAAAAGAAGCCGTTTATAAGTATTAAAAATAAAAACAAAAGAATAAAATATGCTAAGGAATATTTACTAAAAACAGAAGGCTTTTGGAATCAAGTAAATTGATGGTAAATCATCTTAAACACATTTTCATTGATGATTTTCATTTTTTTAAGGTTTTGTTTACTGATAAAAGTAAATTTTATCTGTATAGATCTGATGGTAAGATGTTTGTATGGCGTAAACCAAATGCAGAATTCAATCATCACAATACAAAAATAACTATAAAACATGGAGGAGGCTCTGTTATGGTTTGGGGTTGTATGTCGAGTGCGGGAGTAGGTAATTTGCATTTTATAGATAGTAAAATGAACAAATCTAGATACCTCGACATTCTGAAACAGAATGCAAAGCAAAGTACAGAGAAGTTGAGTATCGCAGAAAATTTTAATTTTTATCAGGACAACGATCCCACGCATACGTCAGGCGTAGCAAAGCATTGGTTGATCCATAACTGCCCCAAACTCATAGACACACCTGTACAGAGCCCAGACCTTAATATAATTGAGCATCTTTGGGAGGAATTAGCTGAGAGAGTGTACCAAAAAAAAATTAACACAATAGTACAGCTAAAGCAGGCTTTACTCGAAGCATGGTACTCAATTGAGCCAGAAGTGTGCCAAAAATTGGTAAAATCAGTTCCAAATCGTCTTCAGGCCATTCTGGATAACAAAGGATATTCAACAAAATAAATGCCACATTTGTGCATTTTTAACATGGTTGCTTAATTTTGTCCGATTATACGTTGAGCCCAAAAAATTTTGTTTGTTCTGTTTTTTACTTTAAATTAATAGTTATTACGAGAAGTGTTTTATTTTTTTTTATAATTTAGATAGATAAGTATGTTAAGTATTAATTAAAGCAAAAAAAATCATATTTTTACTATTTTTTTTAAAGTTTAGAGCACATTTATATCGAACAAATGCTTGTCCGATTATGCGATGGAGTCACTGTATATGCTGGTTACTAGGATTATTAATCTGTAGAGCTAATATAAAAGTAGCATTTCTACACAAGGCGGTACATATCATAACGTATGCGGTTGACATTTACACAATACTACATCCTTAAAGTATCTTTTTTAACAATTGTATATATTAATCTTAGTGAAAATTAAACAAAAATTTAAAATTTTTTGATATATACCCTGATAATGACTATTGATTATATTATAGTCGAAATATCGGTTAGAATAAAATATTAAAAAAAAAAATTTTTAATTTAAAGTTTATTATTTAACTATTGACCAATTAGCTCTTTAAAAAACAATATATAATAAAAGTTTAAATTTTAAATAAACTTCCACAAGAATTATGGTTCTACTAAAAAAAATATGAATAAATATTAATTTCCTACTGCAAATACGTAGAAGGCTATAATTCTGGAGTAATATGTAGGAGAAAGATACATTGATAAGCAGATACAACGCAATGTAAAGAGTTATTGTAACCTATTTAGCAGAGAAACTGAAGATTTTGGTTTTTTCTGCATTCACTACTTATAATTTTTTTCGATATATGTATATATATATTTCGTCGTATTCTACTAATTTTATGTAGAAGACAAGCAGTTAGTTGAGAAGGAACATAAACAATTACTATACAAATAATTTGTCCTTTTATTTCACATTCAAATAATGGATTAATCAAATATCTTAAAGCAGCACGAATATTGGAATTTAAGTATACTCCAGCTGCTCGTAATACTCTTTGAACACTTTGATGCACTAGCGATTACTTTTTACTTTTACGAGATACATATTATAAATAAAATATTGAGATGTTTTCATATTATAAAGATAACTAGAAAAATTATAAAACTTTATTTTATCATAAAATAAAATATAGCTCATTCAAAAATTAAAGTTAGAATATTTCGTAGCTGTTTCGCCAAAATTAAGAGTTTAGTCATGCTACAATTTCAATTTTGATATGTTGAATAAATAATATTAAGCAAATAAAAATCAATTGGCTATTGCCAATTGTGCCAATTAAATTAAAGAAATTTTTAAGTACAATTATACATAATTTTTTTTGGCTTAAATAAACATATGTCATTATTAGTCCGCAACTAGATGCATTTGGCGTCACATAAAATTAATTAGTAACAGTAATATAATTGAATCTAAGTTTTAATAGTTTAATTAAATAATAAAACACTCACTTATTTATATATGTTTGCAACTCAATCTCCTGGCAAATTCGCTTTTCTTCCAAGACATTCCAACGTTTCTTACGTGCTAAACGCAATTGTGATGTTATATCATCTCCAAACTTCAGCTTCTGTTCCTTAGACAAATCAAAAGCTACAACCACAAAATATAAATATCAATAGAAAATTTATTTAGCAGATAAAAAACTTCACACACCGCGCTGCAAATGTTTAATTGCTTCATCATAATGTTCTTGTTCCATTAAACTTTGGCCGAGAAAGAAATGAGCCTTTAGTAAATTACCATCAATATCCAAAGCACGACGACAGTCCATGCACGACATGTCCCAATGCTTTAGTTTAAGGTGACAGAGTGCGCGGTTTGTAAAGCAAGTGGCATTGTTTGGATTTTTAATCTGAAAGTAATTGTGTGAAAAAATGCATACCACTAATTTCATAAACTTACTATGGCTTTAGTATATAGATTAATAGCATCGTCGTATTTACGTGCCAAAAACATTTGATTGCCCTGCTCCTTTAGCTGGATGTCGGTCAGATTGGCTGTAGAATACATCCTTTTGCTCATATTCGTGTGTAATCTAAATATCAAAAGCAAATCAAAAAATTTATGTCAAATATATAATAAATAAATATAACTTGCGCAAGAAAATTGTTATTCCTGCGTTTACCTCTCTTTGTAGTCGCTCACACAAATAAACACCAACGGAATTTCTTTACTCTTATTGCACTGTTTGCTGATCTTTAATTGTCAAAAGAATGAAAATATTTTCAGCCAGAGTTGTATTTGGTTGTAGGAAGTCTTGAAATAGTGGAAATCTTGATTTTATACATATGTTGACTGTTTGCACAGCTATTATTATTAAACACAGTAACAATTTATATGTAGTGCATTTTATTTAACAAAAATAATTTTAAATTGGACGATTAACATAATTTTGGTTTGCAGAATGTGAAAATACAATTTAATTCAAACATTCTTAACGTTTAAGAATACTGCTTCAAACTTTCAATGAGTTACTTTGTTTCTTTTTTTATCGATAATTCTGAATTTATAAATTTTATAAAATATAAATGTAATCTTAAATTTAATATTATTTTGTTTGTACATAGACTTATCGAACTTAAGCATATTTTCATATAGATCTTATATTCAAAATGTCACAATTTGCTGATTATTAGTCAAATACAATAGCATAAAATATTATACATAACATCAACATAAAGTATTATCAACAAGATCCCAGCATTCCTGGTCATTACTCTACTCACTTGCTTAATTTTGTTTGCATTATCGAACACTTTTTATGTCCAATAAAAAGTAGAAATTTTAATTCTTTTTTACAAAAAAAAAAAAAAACGCTTGAACAATTCACAACAAAATTGTCTTTTTTATGTCTTTTATATAAGTCACCGTTATGATGTTTGTATTTACGTTATATGTGGAAACATACAGCCACTATACGATTGCTTCGTAGTTTGTACAAAATTTTAATTTAAATTTGAATTTAATTACTAATTTTTTAGTAAAATTAAATAAAATATTTTTATAATATTTGATATTTCAATTTTCAATTAACACTACAAACATATATATATTCAAAAAAATCAAAACCAAAGTGAAATTAAGATTTACAGTGTGAAAATGTTTTCAGTGTAACAAGCCGAAAATTAAATTAAAATTAAGATTACTTGTGCCGTGTATAGTTCTGAAGTAGTGCGTAATTTATTAATAAACAATAAACAATATAAATTAAAATAAACTTAGAATGTAAAATATATAATAAATGTATAATTTTTTGAGGTTTGTACGTTCGTATAAATTTTGAAAGTGTCAAAAATCAATTTATTACTAAACCGTCCTCAATTTGAAATAATGATGCTATTTTATTTACTAATTTTAAATTAGTTTTGAATGAATAATTTAATTAAATTAATTAATAAATTTCTAATTTAGTTATATGGAAAATATACTAATTTAGCCTTTATACAGTACAAAACAATTTAATTTTTGCACCAGCCAACTTCAAAGACGGACACACAAATGAATAACAAACAAAAATAAAGTCATGGTTGTTTTATGTATATGTCGATAATTCTAATTGCTCTTTATATGCAATTTTATATAATTAATAATCACAATTTCGCAAATTTTTAAAATATTTGTTTTCCACAATTTTCAAATATGTGAAACTTTAATATACAAAGTTTTGATACATGATTGGAATATTCATTGAAATTTTCAGTAAAGGTTCACAATAGTGCGCTTATTAGTTGGTAACACTTTTTTTCTTTAGTGGTCAAAGTGTTTGGCCACTTCATAACTAGGTGCCTAGAAAGTAATGTTATTGTTTTGCATACATTTAAGCAACTATAGGCCAACAACTTGCTATTTTTTGCCACACTTGCGAGACACTGAAAGCACCTAATGATGCAGACTCCAACGGTTTATAATATTATGGAATTTCTTGCCTTAAATAGGAAATCTTTATGGAAATGGAAAATTTTATTACATATATGTCGAACTTTGTTCTTAATTATGAAGCCACTTTAGCACATTTCCGTATGGATTTTATATAAGAAATGGTGTACTTTGCAGTAGTATGAATATATCAATATATATATATGTACATTGTCCAATATATACATACCACTTTATGGGTAGATAATTTCCATTTGCCATAGTGAATGACATAACATCCGTCAAAACACAAAATCAAAGAATATTTTACCAAAGAATATCAAACAAAGGTATTCTTTGCTCAAAATTCTAGCAATTTGACATTTCACAGTTTTGTTTTGTTTCTTATCCTTCATCTGCATCTTTCTTTTGTTGCACGCGTTTTAAGACTAACAACGCGTGTATATTTCGCAGTGTTTCAATTTTAAAAATATATTTTAAAATTGAACTTGCTCAAGACTTATTGTGATTATTCTAAATATTTTTGACGAATATGAGACGTCCTAAGAAGGTGAGTTGATAACTACAACAAAATATACATATTTTTTGAAAGTAAATATCTAGTTGAGGTTATAAATAAAGAAAACCATCTTAACCATTAGTAGCTAATAACGATTATTTGAAAATTCTATTTATGTGACTTTTATAGTACGAGTCTGGTGAGGCAGCACAGTATATAACTCGTAGGGCTGCGCTACGAAAATTGCAACTATCTTTGCATGACTTCCGACGTCTTTGTATAATAAAAGGCGTTTATCCACGTGAACCTAAGCACCGTCGCCGTGCACAGAAAGGAGCCTCTGATATTAGAATTCTTTACCATGCGAAAGATATACGTTTTCTAATGCACGAACCAATTGTTTGGACACTGCGTGACTATAAGGTAAATACTTTTATTGCAACATTTATAATATTCATATTAAATGAAACTACATTTACTTTTCCATGTCTAGATTTTTGCCAAAAAAACTGGTCGTGATCGTGCCATCAAAGATTTCAGAAATTTGAAACGTCGGTTAAAACTATTTCCAGAATTAAAGCTTGACCACATTGTTAAAGAGCGATATCCAACATTTATTGACGCTCTCAAGGATCTTGATGATTGCCTTACACTTCTATTTCTGTTCAGCACATTTCCATCATTACGTCTTATACCGCGTGAACAATCTGCGCTTTGTCGACGCTTGACTATTGAATTTTTACACTATATTATTGCTTCCAAGTCGATGCGAAAAGTTTTTATCTCAATAAAAGGTTATTATTTCCAAGCAGAAATTAAGGGACAAAAAGTTACTTGGATTATACCACATTACTATCCTTTCAAGCCCCACTCGAAGGCTGAAGTTGACTTCAAAGTCATGTCAATATTCGTTGAGTTTTATACTATTATGCTTGGTTTCGTCAATTTCCGTCTATATAATAGCATAAACTTAGCCTATCCGCCTAAATTTCCTGCTGAAGTACTCAACGATACAGAGGAAACACTGAAGGATGAAGCTAGTTTTGTGTCTGATCGTATTGCTGCACTAAACTTGGACTTAATGCGCACAGACAAGTTGCAAGAAGATGAGGAAGAACATGATCTTGATTTAGAGTTGTTAGAACAAGACGGTGATTCCAAGCGGATACTTAAAATGAAACAGGAAAATCAGGAATTAGCACGTTTACGTACGCTTTTCAAAGGTTTAAACGTTTTTATTAGCCGTGAGGTACCACGCGAACCTTTAGTGGTGTTGTTGCGTTCTTTTGGCGCAAAGGTATCATGGGACTCTACAATTTTTCCTGGTGCTACATTCCCTGAGACAGACGAAACTATAACACATCAAATTGTAGATCGACCTAGTTTACCAAATCAATATTTATCTCGTGACTACATTCAACCTCAATGGGTTTTTGATTGCATTAATCAGCGTTCATTATTGGCGACGAATAAATATTTTATGGGAGAAGTACTCCCACCTCATTTGTCTCCATTTGTAGATGCTAATCGCGATGATTATATTCCACCTGAAGAAAAAGCATTACGTGATCCAAAACTTATTGAATCACATGGTAAATATATATACATGTCCTCTTCCAAATCTGTTATAAAAATTGTGTCATATATTTAGAACAAAGTGACGCCGAGTCTTCTGAAAATGATGCAGACACTGATGAAGAAGATCCCGAAATGGAACAAAATCGTATGGATGCTCAATTGCAATTGGCTTACCAAGAGGAAAAGATTGAGGGTGAACAATATGGTATGGATATTGTGAATGAGGATGAAATTGATGAAGACCCACAATCCGATGAGGATGACGATGATAACGATGAGGCGCCAACAGTAGACGGAAGAGACAAAGAACGACTTAAGGAGGTAAGTTTTTGCATAAGCATTTCCAACAGATATCAAAAATTTTTATTATTTTTCAGAAAAAGAGTATGGCCGTGCAATCTGGTAAAGTTTATAAAGAAAACAAACGCGCTCAACATCTGAAAGAGGTAGAAGAGCATCGTCTTAAAGCTCGCATGGTGAAGCCACGACATCGCAATTTGTTCCGTAAGCTGATACGTGAAAAACAAGAAAAAGAAAAATCAGAATGGTTGCTGAAGAAGAAACGACGTGTAATTGAAGCAGAAGCAAAAGTTATCAAGAAAGCTGCCAAGAAATCCGCAAAAAGGAGCCAAGCGACAAAAACGGCGAAATAATCTTTGAAGTGTTTGTTGCTAGTTTCATATTAAATAAGTTGTTATATTTTACGGATAAAATGTATCTTGATACTATTTACAATAAGTCACAGAAATAATACAAATTTAACAAATTTATTATATGTAAATGTTTTGATTATAAAGATTACGACATATAGTAGTAAACACCATGAACTCCATATTATAAGAAAGAGACTTAATCTTGTAATATCACATACTCGTTACGTTATAATTTCTTTGTCGTTTTGAATACTGTTATGATCGTCTAATGATGAAGATATGTATATTTTTGCAGTTTCTAGTTTCTTACTATCATCGAACTTGATGAAATTGCATTTTACGTTTTTAACTTTCAGTTGTAATTAAATATTAAGATGGTAACATCATCTGGTTCCAGAGCAGCTGTGTCATTCATCAATATAAGCAACCAAGTATGGTTTACCCTCTCTGTCTTTTTAAAGTAAGACAATCAGCTGATGTAGTAGAAGCTATGGGAATGCCGACTCTTGGTCTATTTATCCAGAAATTAGTTAGTCTTGCTACTATATTAGTAACGCATGGGTGTGAATAATTAATTCAAATTTAAATTGTAACAAAGATTTTTACTTTTTGCTACAACAATTATTATTGGGATATTTATAATCTCAAGATGTGCACAAATACGGTGTTGTTACTATCAAAATTTTCTCTCATCGGTACTGCAATAGACAATTGATCGCGTCGTGCCTCCATACGTCTTCTTTTCCCTCTTCTCTCTTCTAACTATCCCTCACACGCTTTTTTAACCAATATATTCGTATTGTAATTCATTCATGGTATCATTGAAATCCATCCATTTCGTTGGTGCCAATAAATACTGTGCTGTGCATTTTTATTGCAAGAGAGCAAGAAATTTCAGTTTTTCAACATATTTCTACTACTGATCTATTGGTTTAAGACCTTTTTTTTTATTAAAGAATATAAAAATAGCCACAACATTATCTTTTATAATTCTTATGGGTCACTTAACAACTTACATCCAAAATCGAAATCCCGTAGAACATATGGAGTACTGATTCGGGCAGAAGCTACATAACTAAAGCCCTAATTGATACAGAAACACCGAGTGTTGTTTATTAACCAATCCTCAAAATTGAAACGCTTAGAGTAAATTATAGTTGAAAAAAGAGGTATAGACGATATTGTAGCTCATAAAAAAAAATGCTTTTAATGACGCAGCTTAACAAATGTATTGTGTGATAAAAAGACGCTTACTCTTGAGGGAAAAATCTTCCACATATATGGGTTCGATCTTTCCTGAAATATTGTAGTGAAAACTTGGCCGCACTAAAAATAATCAAAAAATGCATCTAGCCAGAATTAAAATGCTACGGTAATCATTAGGGAAAACACGAATAAATAAGTGTATCAAATCAACCATATATTTCAATATAAGAAATGCTATGAAAGTTGTACTGGCCACTGGAAAGCTACTAGAAAAAAGACCAAAGCGATATAGCCACCTAATAAAACGAGACGAAAATCACATTGCCGAAGTAGCCGGAAATATTAAAAAGTCAATAAAAATATGAGGACGAACACAAGCAACTCTAACGAGTCCTGACAATGTAGTAACAGACGATAGAACACTCCGTTGCCTTATTCACTCCGTTTTTTTATTGGTATGGCCACCTAATGAAACGAGACGAAAATCACATTGCCTAAGTAGCCGGGAATATTAAGAAGTCAATAAAAATATGGGGACGGACACAAGCAACTCTAACGAGCTTGATTTTAAGGGACTTGAAGAAGCAACGTCCTGACAATGTAGTAACTGAGGACAGAACACTCTGTTGCCTTACTTACTCAGTTTTTTTATTGGACTCAGCTTTGGCGATATCTTCAATAATCGGATGATATAGTTTATATTGTTTTATATATGTAAAATAAATAAGTTTGTAAAATTCACTTTTAATATAATTAATAAATAAGCTTGAGTGTTTTGCTGTTACTTATTTAAACATTTTTGTTTATTGGCTTTAAACTTTATAAATAAAAAATTTAGGTTTTATGATATAATGGACAGTCATAATCATTATATATAATAATTATATTTATATAATTATTTACAATAAATTTTAAAAAAAAATATAAATTAACATGCCCTGCCACATTTCTCATCATTATTTTTAAACGAACAAGTTTGCATTAGTTGCCCACATATAGTATTTAATTTAATTTATTTCTTGTTTTTGTTTAATTAATTAATATTTTTGTTGATGACGTTCAACTTTTGGTAAACATGAACAATGCATTATTAACTTAAATTAAGAATTTTAATACAAGTTCTTCTATCGTCTTCTTGACGTATACTTAATTCTATATAGACTGACTTTAATTTTATAACAGTGTGCTAAAAATACATACACAGACATATACATACATAAAGATATTTCTTGTATATATATAATATATATGTATGTAATTATATATATAATTTTTTTGTTATGTTGTTCCAGACTTAAAACTGTAGTAAGAAGCCCAGCTACGTAAAACACTGATTATTGAATCAGTCAGAATCGGAATCATCGTCTGCGTCACTATCTTCCAGTTCAGGCATTGGAAATCTTAGTATAGCAGCAATACCAGTAAGCTGTGCTAGTTCTGTAACGATAAAAATAATATCAATTAGAAGTATTTGCAGAAAAAACGAACGTATGCTTACTATCTAACAGATTTCTAATATATATATATATATATAGCAATACTAAAGATGTTAGAAAGTAAAATATACGAAGCCTAAAAATAACACTTTTGCTTTTGCTGTTATATACATTTTTCTCGGTGTTACTTAACAGAGATATTACTACCGAGAGATATAAAAATTGCTCACCAGCAATTTCTCTTAACCCAACTCTTTCTGTTTAAACAAAAAGCTGATCAATGTTTTAGATGTAGATATCATCTGCGTAAACGGAATTTCCTACGTATTTGGGAAATACTAAAAGCTATATTTTTAATTTAAACGCTATTTTTATAATCAAATATTATTAAAAAGTGCATCCTTGCCTAACATCCACTGAAATTAGGGTTATTTACTAATACATAAGATTTGGTTTCATCTATCAGCTGTCGACACTATGGAAAATTTTCTTCATGTTGTTTCTTATATCCAAATATCACAATGAATAAGACAACAAAACTCATTAAGAATTCCTAATTCAATTTTTTTTAATCATATCATATCTCGTGTGTTTCTGGTTAAGTCTTACTGTTTCAAAAGATATATAGTCTATAAATATTTTGAAATGAGTTTTCATAAAAGTTTTGACTCTGTCTTTTTGACTCTGTCTCTCTAACAGTGCACAGATTTGCACTAGCAAAATGGACACTTATTATATGAATAGAAGATGCGTGTCATTTTTGACATAAGTATACCACCGATCCCCTACTTGTAAATCTTAAACTCTGCTGAATGATTACGAAAGTAAAATACATAAATACTATGTCTTATCAGGATTCGAACCCAAAGTCGTTAATAGCCCAGTTCCTTATCTCTTTAAAATCATTGTATTTTATTAGAATTGGATAACAATGGCCCTTAATGGTCTGAATGCTGTGTTTCCAACTGAAATAATATTACCAGTTCTAACATTTTGAAGATTAATAAAATTGTGACAATTCTTTCGAATCCACTGTTTCGAAACATATTTTGAAAGCAAATGCAAATTATTTTGAGTTTCTGAACCTGGTGGTTTTAACCGTAACATTTCAAAAATTGTGATGACCAAGTCTAGGAACGTAAATACATATATACATTGATACATTGATATACATTGATACTTTTGTCATAGTTTCATAACTGAACGGAATTTAATTCATACTATCACTACGACCAAGTCTTCTTCGTTTTTTCATAGAACGATACCATGAGATCGGTTATAATAATATACATAAGAGTTACATTAACTATTAACGTGTCCACACTTGTTATCAACTTTACCACTTATTGTAACGTTACAAAGAGCATGAACCCAATTAGATAGAACTTGTTGGATTCACTTAACTTTTTAAACGAATCCTTTTAATCTTGTTACTGAGGCTAACAAACTTAAAAGAAATATTGAGATAAAAAAAATTGCTTTGTAATCTAGTTAATATAAAATACAAAATAGTTCTAAAATATTGTTAAGAATTGAGCAGAATTTTAAATACTTACGTTCGCCGGATATATGCATGCTCGAAAAAATTTTTGCTTCTCCACCGGCGTCACGAACCGATTCTACTAAGTTGACATATTCTTTCCTGAGATTTACGTTTTGACATCTGAAAAATAAATATTAAAATAAAGTTTTTTTAAATAAAATATAAAAATGTATATCGTTTTAAATAATTTTTTAAGCTCTTTTCCACAACAATAATATAATTTAATTTATATGTAGTTGTTTTCTGGCACTATGAAGAGAACATAATAACAAACATATACCAAGTTAAGATAGGTTATGCCGGTGATCCAACGGATCCATTTAGGCCTATTGTGTTTCGGCACAGAAACATATACTAAAAAATATGGATATGTACATTTACATATTTCTGTAGCCTGTCAAAATGAAGACTTATTTAAGAATAGTTATTTATATATTTATTATTAAGCACTAAAATTCTAAACAGATGCAAGTATAAATGATCACCTTACATGTTCCATAATCAGCACTAACGATACTTAGCCCTAACGAAGAAGTGAAATATACTACGAAACTTTGACGATATTTATATATATAATGAGATTTTTATATATTAGATTATATAAAATAAAAGTAAAAAATAAAAAAAATACAAGTTAAAAGTTTTTTGTTCAAAGAATTCAAAAGTATATTGGTATCTGGTAGAATCTTCACATAAAGACGTCAATACTTCTTGATAAACAAGTGTTTTACTAAGATTTTTTAAGTACCATATAGATAGATATAAATAAGTAGACAACAATTATTCCGTTAAATCGATATAATAGGTTCTAAATAAAATGTAAAACAAAATATAAACTGAGCAACATAATTAAAAAATAAATACAGGGAAGAGTCTTCGCCAGAAGAAATGATTAAAAGTTCAATAAAAAAATTTTATATTCTCAATGTCGAATTTGACTTCAGAATACTGTAACACTTAGAAACGCTGTGCACCATTGTAGGTCTATATGCTGCTGAAGTATCCCTTTACAGTATTAATTAAAATACCGTATCATCTCAGTGCATATGTGATATAACCTCTAGCTACTGATCCCATGCGTCACCCACTTAAAGTACATATATTATTCATATGTAGTATAATATCTTACTTTTGTCCTAGATTTATCCTAGATTTATAGTCACTCAATAACGATCTTTAAGAATAGTGAATGACATATCCATCACATCATTGTTATTGTACCTGATTGAGAGAATATATTTTCTTTACTGTTTAGTGCAATAGTAAAGTCCTGTTTGGGTGGTTATCAGAAATGGAATTATACTACTTATTATTATTGTTATAATCTGCAAATAAGAAATTATAATATAATATATATAATTTATAATATAATATAATATATATAATATTATATAATATATATAATATAAATATATAATGTATAACATATAGTGGCGGAGGTAGACCAACTCTGCACGACGGCGACATCAGAATTGCGAGGCCCCCTTTATAACCCAGTTTTATTGTTAATCAAATTAAAATAAACACAAATTGAAATAAATGAATTTTCCTACTTTTAGCCTCACTAAATTTTTTTTTAAATTATATCATAATTTGCGCCAGCTGCTATTTTTGCTTCAGTTTATAGAATTTCCAATGGAGATAGTCTCTCTTGGATCATAATACTTTTCTAGTACGTCTTAATCAATTTCAACTTTGAGAAGCTTCTTTCCGTCGAAGCTATACTGACAGGAACTGTGAACATGAATCTGGTTACTATAAAAACATTCGGGAATACTTCGAATATGGTTAATGCCATTATCAAACCAAATTGTTCAAAATATTTATTAAGTGCTTAGAATCCACAGTCGGTAACTTTTTGCGAGGACTCTGTGGGCGCGAGGCCGTCGGCGGTCGCCGACATCGCTGACGCCTAGCGACGCCACTGACAACATAAATATAATATAAAATTATAATAGAATATAATTTTTTATTCTATTTATTTATTTTTATTTATTTATAAGTTAAGACTAAAATTAATTTTAAAGTTAATTAAGAATGAGGAACTGAACTACTGAAATTCCCGGCAAAATTATGAACTATGAATTATGTATTTATTTCTGCGGCCCTCCAACCAATTCAGTGATTTATACTGGCCCGCGATCGTATCTGTTCTGGACAGCCCTGCTCTACTATATAAGGAATGATAGACCCCAAGGAGGTTTTTTTTATAAAAAACGAATTAAACAATACTCAATCCTCAACTTCTTATTTATAAACTGGTGTCCTATGCTTTACAACGAATGAACAAATCCCCACGCGGATTATTTTATTTAAGACTAATCTACTAGACAATCAATTATTTCGTGCAAACAGGGGAAGAAAATTATCCTATCATTTATGAAGACTATTGCTCCATATACGTCTGTTCCTGTTCCATTACGCAGAACAGGAACAGATATTTCAAGAAGACATTAAGACATTAAGACAGAATATCGCCATTCTAATCTATGAATAACTTTTAACAGGAAATATAATGCAATTGTATTACCTACAATGCTTATAATACTTAAAATTAACTCTAAGCTTAACTCTAGGTTTAGTCAGTTTAATTTTTTACAAGTTCTTACTTACTTAATATGCACTTTTCATTAACGTTAGATTAACTCTTCAGAATAATGTTCGAATCTTAGACCTCAGAGACCTCAACAGAGTGTAGTGTATGACGTTGAAAGCAACAGACATTTCATACCATTCACTTCTTCATACCAGAAAAATACAGAAATTAAGAAAACACACTCACACACACATGCATACACACAAGAACGCACAAAGCGGAGAAGTGAAGAAGTGAAGAATTGCACCAGAGCAAAAAATGTGGGCAGCAGCTTGCGCACTCGGCGGGGAAGCCTTATTTAGACTGAAAGCCGCACAACAAGAAAGCCACTACCAGCGGCTATGCACGAACACAAAACAATCAGTTGCATTTCGGCGTTCTTCGGTAACGCAGGTCTCTGTATGCTTGTGGTTCGTAGCGAACGGAATAAAGGCACTACGTCCAACGTGTGTAAATAAACCGAAAAACCGGCTAAAAACAACTGGTGGTGCTCTTTATTTAATAAGTAGACTTTGTCCTTTAAAAGCAATAACAACAATAAATGTAAAGTAAAAACAAAAGAAAAAATTAATAAAATAAAAAGTTCAACTCTATTTACATTCAAGAAGAAGCAACTAATAATAAAAAAAAAAAAGAATTTGGAGCAGCAGCGACGCAGTTCGCTAAAATAGAAGAGGTGCGCATGTTACCATAATTTTTTTCTAAAGTGAAAGTATTCATTATTAAGTTGACGGCGAAATTATTTACATTTATTAACTCAATTAACAACAATACAATAAATGAACCAATATAAGCCCAAATAAAAGAAAAGAAAATATTTTCAGAGACCAAACAATGGGTTGCGCATTGCAAGACAAAAAAGAATGCTACACTTGCGTGTAAAACTTTAGTCATGAATGGTTTCTGTCTGAGGTGATGAGAAACTTCACTTCAATGTGCCTTATTATGGCCGTGTGCGAGTTCGAGAAAATTGATAGTAAATTGAGGGATATAGTAAATTATGTCAGTATGGCAGCGAATGTTCTGGTATTTACCAGAATTTCAAGTAGGGTAAATTAGATAAAAATTAGGTATTATCATTGTTAAAATTTTATAAGATGTTTAATAAACAAATAAATAAATTTGAAAACTTTCAACCAAAAATAATAAATAAGTGCAATCAGTAAATAAATAAATATTTCCATAAGTGCTGTGCAAAAAATCCCTAGGAATTTTTTAAAATATAGTAGATTTACAATATTTATCTGTTAAGTGTTAAACTGAAATTCTTTCTAAATAATTATTTAATACTTAACCCAAGACGGCTGACACAAAAACCATAAACGTAATTCTCGAAACACAATCTGTTAAGTGTTGAACTGAAATTTTTTCTTAATATTTCTCTCACAGTTAACCTCAGAGAGCTATTAGGCGTAATGCTCAAAGCATAAACTGTTAAGTGTTAAACTGAAAATCTTTCTAAATATTTCTAATTCTCAGTTAACCTAAGGCTTATTTTATGTAGATTGTCACGGGTACGTCAAAATTAGCTCTTTTGGGCTTTGACGCAAATGCATGTTATGCAAAATGTCACATCAGTTTGTCAATTTCATATTTTCACTATTACTTTCGTACTTATGGATTGTACATAATTTTTAAAAAAAATATACACATACTACACGACTTTGACTGAGTGACCAGGCACAGATAGTCTCCTCTTAATTTAAGATTCACTTAGTCGGAACATACCGCAAGAATTTAAGATGAATAGAAATTTACAACTAACCTTACCTGTGTATTTAATAGGAACAAAATAAATAAAGTTCGCCGCTTTTGTTTATTTTGTTCGTATCAAATACACAGATATGGTTAGTTGTAAATTTCGCTTTATCTTAAGTTCGCTTAAGTTCTTACGGTACGTACCGACAAACTGAGCCTTGACCCCCATTTAAACGGACATTTGTTTTTTTCTAAGCCTAAGATAGCTAACACAAAAACATCAAAGTAATGCTCAAAACACAATCTATTAGGCGTTAAACTAAAGTTCTTTCTAAATTATTTTTTAACAGTTAAACCAAGAAGCATTAACGTAATGCTAAAAAAACATAAAGTTTACGCGAAAATTTGGTTTGTTCTTTTATGTGTGCTACGTATATTTATACCAAAATAATCCGAACTCATTAGCATATCCTTGTATAGCTTTTTTTATGAAAAATGGCACTTCTTGCCGTACTTTTATACAGTTAATAACGATAGTGTAAACGTAATCTAGATCAACGATATCAACGCAATAGTAAAAACACAATCATCACGTTGACACGAAGCAAAACTTAAAAACGAGATGCCAATATAATTTTTCAGGTGTCACTTTTTGTAATTGCAAGTGTAATTAACATAATGTAGAAAGTTTACTATTTTAAAACTTGATATCTCGACAATGAAACTATATCCACAAGCTACAGCTTGATAAAAAAAAAGCGTAACTTATGGCGTTTTCGTTTAATTAATCTGGGTTTAATCTAAATTTATTCTCGATCTGTCGAATTTTATTGCCCAATCAAATCAAACGATTTTAGAGTAATCTAATATTTTTGTGGTATTGTTAGCAGATATTAATATTTTTCATAAATATGTAGAATCAAATCACACTTCCCCTGTCAAATCATATAAAACAACTGTGAATTTCAGGGTAATCTTGCTACTCTAGCAAAATTTCTAGAGTGTTGTTAATTGAACTAGAGTGTTATAAATTTATTTAGAATTATATAAATTGATCTAGAGTGTTATAAATTGCTCTAGAGTGTTATAAATTGATCTGGTGTTAAAATCGATTTTGTTTTTTAGGACTTTAACTTTTATTTCGATCGTATCTAGAGTTATTTATTTAGAGTTTTATATGAAAACTCCACTAAACTGAATCTGAATTCAAAAAGTTACCCCAGCTTTACCAATCGAAAACGACATTAGAATGGCGCGCTATACAATAATCTATAATAGTGCAAATAAAAATAAAATCTAAATTTTTCCACAGTCACTTTCGTTACAGTATCACATCATCTTTGACTTTCACGGCATAATTTTGCACACAAGTGTGATAAATTTCACCTACATATGTACGTGTTTACATTGTGCAAACGAAAAAATACCCATGCACCTATTTTTATTCAAGAAGTTATAGTTATAGGCCACATAAGAGGAAAGCGATTGACAAGCGCAAATCAAGAACTGCGAGACAATCGCACGTAAGAGCTTCGCTTCGCCAGCGCCTACCACAAATCTCATTACAGCAACAACGTGGCGCAATCAAGTGTGAAATCTTGTGGTTTTATTTTTAAGTTTATGGAAATTCACTTCATTTTGCTTTAGATTCACTTAGTTGGGCAACGAGACTTTATTTGTTGTAATGGAATTATTGGGTTATTTACTTAACTGGAATTCAAGCATGTAAACACTGAATGGATATTAGTGTGAACACATATAAAACCCTTAATGGCTTAATTTCCAGGTGCAGGGATTATATAGGTATATTCTCCCTTCATTAACATTTGACTGCAGTTTGCAATGGCGGAAAATACCTTGCTATTATATGCACAACTCACTGAAGTACGGTGTTATGGACAACATAATATTCATAATATTCCTCTTTTAAATTGGAAAGAGATTAACGTTTTTGACAAACTTCCCAATGTCATTTTGTTTAGGTTTTCCGACTTTTTGTTTTGTTCTATAATAATCATATGAAGACAATCTTAATATACGAGTAGAATTTGCATGTTTTGAATGCTATATACATTATAAAATCTGCAAACATTTGTAGTTTCAAGTCTTGTCTTAGATAAGTAATAGCTAATGTAAACGTGTTTAATTGATTATTAATCTGTCATACGAGAGACGAACAGAATCTGTGGCGCGTACTTCACAGGAGAAGCTCTTCAAACGAGCATGAAGAATATTAGGCTAAGAACTCTCGTTTATGCTGGATTCACACAAGAGTTTTATTTGTAATTCAAGCTGTCATTTCTGTAATTTTAGGTGTCAATTGTTATTGCTTTTAATTCAAAATAAAAATTTTTGTCATCTAAAATTACAATCAAAACTCTCGTGTGAATCCAGTATTAGTGAAAATATATGATCAGCACACATAGCAAGTATGTTACTTAGTATTCAACAAGACTCTATAAACTATTTATATTCATGCATGTATATTATACATTTCAAATTACTAACTATAAAAGTTCTAAACACTAAGTTTGAAGTCTAATTCGAAACAAAAAAGTTGAGGTTAAAACTATTAAGCAGGTTGAATATCGGACAACTTCCAAACGTCAGAGACAAGAGATGATATATATTTTTGATCAGTTGAGCTATAAAAATCAACATAGCCAGATATCAGGAACGGCCGGTTTTACATTCTGAACCAAGTGTCACTTCCAAAAGGAACTAACCAGGACATTTTCGCGGACTACTATAACACTAATATAGCCATGTCGAAAATATCAGTAGTCAACTCATTTCAAAGTTGGTTGGTTAAAAACTTGTTTCTAAGATAACTAAGTAGTATTGATCTACAAAAAAAGTACAAAAGGAAATATTTATTTCAAAATAAAGGTTAAAAACCGAGGACCGAAAATCACAAAAAAAAAATTAATTTTGAACTACTATATTTCTGAATACATTTGATCACACAAACAAAGTAGACAGCAAATTATAAATATTGTTTAATTTGATTTAAATTAACTAAAAACTGATATACATTAAGACTGAAAAGTTTTCGGAAATTCTCATTTAAAATTCGCGCGCTGTATATTTTTCGATATTTTAAGTTTATGTAGTTTGGCAGCACTGTCCTTAATTACTATGCCAAAAATGAGCGCGATCTGTCAGACAGTTCGTTTACGGCAGCTGTTGAAACCAGTTCACCTCAGTAGTGCGTTGCGAAATGTCTTCGACGGTCGTACGACCGTCCTGAAAGGCTTTGTACCACTCATAAACTTGAGTTTTCGATAAAACTGATTCCCCATAAGCCTTTTGTAGCATTCGCAACGATTCTGCACACGAAATTTCGTTCGAAACACAAAATTTGATGCAAACTCTTTGTTCAATATTTTTTTCCATTGTTTTTTTCGCAACGCACTACTGAGGTGAACTGGTTTCAACAGCTGCCGTAAACGAACTGTCTGACAGATCGCGCTCATTTTTGGCATAGTAATTAAGGACAGTGCTGCCAAACTACATAAACTTAAAATATCGAAAAATATACAGCGCGCGAATTTTAAATGAGAATTTCCGAAAACTTTTCGGTCTTAATGTATAACTTAAGCTATTTGACACAATGGATATCAACTAGAACTACGACAAACAGATTCTGGATTTAAATCGTATAAGATTTAAGATCCTTTAAAAGAAATCTTTAATGTTTGATGACTGTTTTAGAAATACAGCTTACACTATATACTGAACACTCCTGAAATTCTTATAAATTTCTAATACAAAATTTACATAGACGTTAAAGTCTATCTGGTATATCTAAGGGGGCTATGTGTGGCTAACGCCCAATCAAATTAGCCTCAGCTGAGTAATTTGTATGAATGGTTCCAAGAATAGCCGGGTTTACCTTCCGGAGTCGCTCGACGACCAAACGGCGTTCAACATTCTCCAAAGGAATAACATAGGCAGGTCTCAACGGGTTACTACAACTACAACATTTGAACGAATCATTTCTGAGATATTGGAAGTTATTTGTGTGAAAGATTCATCCATACAGAACTTATTCATATCTTGCATCTTGGTTATTATTAAAAATAAACTTGCAGTTATCGTTATTGATAGGAAAAAATTTATATTCATTTATAACATTTCGAATAGGAAATACTCTCTAATTTTGAAAAGTTTAATAAGCTATTGTCAATGATTGATTGTTATAAAGATATAGATCGATATGTATATCTTACATGTATCTTACATCTATATTATGGGAATTAGAGAACCAACAGATTATTATATTTTCTGAACTGTACGTCATTCCCTACAGACTATAAACGAAATATCGCTGCACAATAAAATATTTTTCAAACTAATTTAAGAATTGTTAAATAATAACATTGAATAAACTATCCGTAAAAAATGTATATAAATAAAATTTGGTTATTAAGGCAATACCTATATATATTATTTTATAATTATTATATCATTTTATTTCATAAAAAATGATAATATATTTCTTATAATAATTATCATCATAAAACTTTAAATATTTTTAGGAGTACCATAATCATCCAACATGATTAATAGAACACCTGATTATATAATATCCGGATGCGGCTATCCACATTGGAAAAATGAAAGAAATAACTTAGAGAATATCAAATTTTCACTTCCTGAAAAGGCCATAAAAAATATGAAAACAGATAAGCTCCTGCCTTTAAGAGAAACCCTAACGGAATATTATTTTCGCTTGCAACGGCTGCCAATCCACAAAAACCTGAATTATTTTGAAAAACCAACTCAACAAAAACAAAAGAAGGAGAACATAAATAAGTCACTAAAACAATCAATAACATTCAGTAAAAATAGGTAAATATAAGACTATATTAAGACCCAATCATATAATCTACTACAGTATTTTAACATAATTTTATTGCATTAATTTTATCAATAAGTAACAGGAATAGGATAGATTTCTCGAAGAGCAGTAGCACTGCAGTCTTTAAATACATTATTTGTACCATAAGTAAGTCCCTAACCTTGTAGTAGAAAATATGTCTGTTTAGGACGAAATATCTCTAGTCAAAATGCTTTTTGAATTTTCAGTAATAATTAACTAAAATAGGTCTTTAATTAGCATTTTAAACACTTTATGCATAGAGTTGATCTTAGCTTGAGTTCATTGATACATACTTATTCCTTCAGTATTTGAAAACTATTTGGTTCAGGTTTTCATACTAAAGATCAAAAGAGTTGGATTAAAAAACGTACATACACTATAATCCACATCAATTGCAAAGGCATACATATAATTCAAAACCTTATCAACATTTCACAATTATTCCTATACTTTCTTATTAATTAATTAATATTATACGACGCCTAAGGAAGACACTATTAAATTTGTACCTATATATATTAAACTCTAACAGCATAATCAGTATTCTCTTCTAGTGATAGTAACGTTCCTGAAGGCAACTAATTGTCTGTTAGAAAAGTAACATTCAGGCCGGAACTACGTCCAGTCCCTACCTATTCTCGGGTCTAATCTTTTAGTGTTACAATAAAAATAAAGCAATATTAACGTAAATATATATGCTATTATACATATATGAGAGACTAATGTAGTTTTTTGCTCTAGATGAGTAGAGCATATTAAAGTAAAATGTGGCAATAAGTTTAAGACATTTTTTTAACTCAGTGACAATTAGTCTACTTAGAATGTATGGCAAGTGTAAATAATTTGTATATTTGTATATTTGTAAGTTTATTTAAAATAAAAAAACTTTGATAAGTTTTAAAAAACAATCTTGTATGTCGTACTCATTCCCATCAGCTGTAAATATTTAATTATGAAGCTTTTCTGGATATACCTTCATATTTTAAAATCCAGGAAATTTATTTATGTAAAAAACATAATTTTCAATTATTAAATTTTGAATTTTTTTCTCGACCTGGTTTTTTAACAATGTTTTTTTTTTATATATTTTATATCCGGCTACAGGTCACATTTGTTGGCTATCAAGGAGAGCCGAAATACAGAATATACTAAAAAATATTAAACAAACGTTTAATTTTCAATTATCTAATTAAAAAAATATTAATATTCTTTACAGATATTGCGAGAATAAACTACAGAAACACACAGAGAAAAAATTGTATCCAACAAAAACGGAGAAGGAACAAAATGGTTTCTAAATAAAATAGAATTGCTAATTGATAAGAACAAGCAATTGACTGATTTAAACGTGCTAATTTAAGAATCTCTAAATAAATTATTTAAAAAACCTTACAAAAATTTTCTTAATTTAAATATGACATATGTGTTACTATAGAATCCGCTAATGGATGCGTAACATGCTTTCGTGCGATTGTTGCCACGGACATTAAAAATGCATTTATCAACCAGTGTCTACCTGACAATAACTGCGGACCGTGTTTATACCAAATTTGCAATACAACTACAGATAGTGATTTCGAGGTTGGACATAGATATTGTTATTTGAATATTGAATTTTACCTGAATAAATTATCTGATATAAGTAATGTTTCTACAGCCATAGCCTCCACTGCAGCTGATACATGTTTTTTGCCATAAAAAGCCTTGGCGGGTTCGCATTGCAGCATTGTATAGAATTGCTCTAACGCCCTCACTTCGCCTGCCGCTTTTGTATCTGACATTTTGTTAATAACTGCCGGATTTTGTAGTACTTCTGCAATATGCATAGCTTAAGAATTTTTAGGTCATAAAGAATGGTGCACACCTACCTTTGAGCGAATGTTTAAAGCCTGAGGACGAATGTACCAGCATAAATTTACTTTTGTTCTCTAATATTACTTTTAAGTCAAGTTTTACTGCTTGTTGTATCATGTACTCAAAAAATTGATCACGCACGAATCCTGGAGAAGCGATCAATACACATTTAACCACATCGAAATTGACATGCCTCAGTATGCCTTGCAGTACACATTCGTAAAATTTTACCAGGCCTTTTTCATGCTGTTGCACATTACCCTTCCTTTTACGTGGTATAGATAATTCTATTTTGCTACGCACTAGCGTCATACTAGCTGTGATCAAACAAACATTAGCAAGGCCTTCCTGCATAACCACAGCAGCAACATCAGCCGACTGTGCAGGATCGCAAGCCATATCAATACGTTCTAATGCAATTGAATCCCATTCCGGCTTGCGTAGCTCGAATTTTCTATTTAGTTCGAGATCCAGAGTGTGATATGCGCCCATCTATTAAGTTTTCCCAAATATTATATTAAATACAAACAATTAATTTATTCACTGACCTTCACATATTGATTTTCTTCTATATTCCGACCTTTGAGACGTAGAACACACGCCTGCGTGTCAAAATCAATAGATTCAACATTGATAGTAAGCGTTGTACGTATCCTACTACTGGTTGAAGATCCTGTGGCACTTTCATTTTGCACCTTAATTTTAAAATGATAAAAACATTAAATCAAAATTCATTATAATAAAAGATGACCACGCAATGGTCTAACCTTTCGTATTGTTGTGCTTCGTACACTATCACCTTCCGTTATCAGATTGTACGTGTGCCACATATCTTCAGACTCCTCCGGTATCAGCACGACAGTCCTAAAAAATAAAAGTCAACATTAATTTCTAAGTTTAACAGTTACCAATTATTTTTTGAAATTTTTAAACACATTTTACCCGCACCGCATTTGCTCCAGAAGTTGATAAATACTCACCCTTGCATGCCCTTGTCCACATTCTTGCTGACCAATTTCATTTTGCTTATGCTCTTCTTAGAGTCTATATTAAAATTTTGTTTTAGAAATCGTTCTTCGTCACTTGCATTGAATTTTTCTAAGCGTTGTTATTCTCAAAATTAGAAACATTTTTCTCCGTCTAATGCTACTTTAACACAGTAAATAACTTGTTTGTTACATTTACTAAACACACCAAAACTTTCCCACCGCGAAATTGCACGACAGTCGTGCTACAAATGACAGCACGTATCGTGCGAAATGTGACAAAATAAAAACAATTTCGCGCGACACAGGGTTGACATAGCATCGCATTCAATACAATGTGAAAATCAGCTGATCTCATTTCAGCCACACGACTGAAACCACCAAAGAATACTTGTATTCTTTGCTATTGAAGGATTACTTAAAACATGTATAGGGTACAACATGTTGAATGTTTCGTAAAACTTCGACACATTATAGACCGTGTGCGAATTCGAGTAAATTGAGGTAAAGCAAATTGAAATTTCCTAGGGATTTTTTGCACTGTACTTATGTAAATATTTATTTATTGCAGTTATTTTCAAATTTATTAATTATATATTTTATAAAATTTTCACAATGGTAACACCTAATTTACCTAATTTTTATCTAATTTACTCTACTCGAAATTCTGATAAATACCAACATTTGCTGCCATACCGACATACTTTAATATTTCCCTCAATTTACCATTAACTTACACGAACTCGTTCACGGACACATTTTTATTGCCATATCAATACAAGATTTTATTTGGATTTAATAAGCAAATCTGAATATGAAAAATTGGTTTTGCGATTTTTGTTATCATTTCGCATAGTACTAATTATATTACGTCTAATCATAATTTATGTACGTTTTTCATTAATAATAAGCAATCTTAAACATATTTATTAAAGCAATTATTCCTGCTTATGATTTACTTTGAATTTGCTTAACAAAATGGGTCTGTTCAACTAGCTACTCGCAGTAAAACTTAAGCAAAACACAAGTAAACTACAAACTAAAAGCGTAACACAAATAAAGTTTCATATTTCGCTCTTTACACAGATTTTCACACCAAACCAAAACAGCTGTTTTACACATCACACAAATTTTACTTGAAATAAAATGTACGAGTAAAGTCTGTGTAGCATTCTTAAATTTCGACAGGGATGTTACGCTCTCTCAGATGCTCTCATCTCTCTCTCTCTCGAAAATTTGCTGCTGGAACGCACTTGTGTATACTCGTACACAAAGTTACTACGAGTAGCTCGTGGCACAGACCTAATATAATATTATTTAAATCATTTTTGAAATTCCCAACATTCTTACCATTCTTTTTAATTATCAATTTTATTAATTATTTATTTTTATGCAAAACGTAATTTGCTTGCATTATGTGCAACACTTGACAGATTGCAATAGTGATGCCAATGTCGCGATTAACGAATATAGGCCAGCATGCTTTGTTTTGCCATACTTACGAGCCACCGAAAAGGCTTAATGTAAACAAAACAGCAAAATTTGCAATTTCGTTAATTGCGATTCATCGAAATGACTAGCAGGAACATCCATTTTGATTTATTCTAGTAAATCAAAACCAGCTTTAACGTTGTTTTTTTTCTACTGTGATATGTTCCATTATAAAAAAACTTGTTACGTTTTTTAGAAACATTTCGAAAAAGTAATGCTAATCTTTAATAAATTAACTATTAGTTAATTTTTTAATTGATAGTTTTTATGTTTGAATCCATTTCCTTGTGTTTCCTACTAAAATGAATTTTAAATTTAAATTAATTAAGTTAAATTCTTTTAAAAGAAACTCTTTTATAAATATTTTTATCAGCTTCGACTTTAAGACCCATAAAACTATTTATCAGATTTAATTAAATATCAGGTTTAATTCAAGTGGGTTCAAATAAAAAAAATAAACCTTTTTTATATTTGCAATTTGTGATTGACAGCATTTTTGGCTATAACGGTTTCAAAAACAGGGTTGATGAATAAAAGAAGAATGTTTAATTATAACAATGAAAGTACAAAAGGACTACTCCGTTTATCACTAGTTAAGTGATAAAGTTCTATGTACGTGTATTTATTTTGTGAAATTCCACCGGTACCACGTTATCGATCTAAGAAACTATCGAATCATTAGCTCTGCTATTTTTCTCGATATTCGGTTAAACATCAACTGTTTGTTAATATTGTGAATTGTTGCACAATCTGAAAATTAAATTTAAAATAATTGAAATAATAATAAATAAATGTAAAATAAAATAAAAGAACAAGTTTAACTTAAATTTTAATTTCACTTTTTCCAAATTTTTTTTAACGATATAAGCTTAATATTAATTATTTTATATTGATTTTAAAATCATTTTTAAAATTTTTTTTAAAACGGTTTGATTTTTAAAATCAAATCATGACGAGAAAATATTTTCTTAACCTTTCAATTACGTTCAATTGCGCTTGCCATTTCATGACACTATCAAAATTTTATGTTCTTAACAAATGTGAAATATATTTAAGATTTTAATGTTTGTCTGTCCGTTTGCAAGCTGGTTCCTTTGACTTACCTGCACTTCTCAAACCAGTACTTCTTTCGCTTTAACACCTTACATATTAATAAAATTTAATTATTTGATATTTAAATTGAGTTATTATATCATATTAGGATATTGTACTATCAACAAATAGCGATGAAACTTGATCAGAACAAAACTTACAAGTACGATAACTACTACCAACATTTATACTTGTGGACTGTGTGGATCGTAATTACGTATATTCAAGCAAATATCAAACCATAAAGTGGAACTAACTAGCTTCTAACGTTATCCAATCGATTCGAGGTTTGAAGACACATTTCATATATTGTGGATAAATATTTTTTGGATGTATATATTATGGATATATGGTTATATATATTATGGATATATATATTATGGATATATATGTTATGGGAATAAATATTATGGATATATATATTTTGGATATTTATATTATGGTTGTATACTATGGATATATATATAATAGGAATATATATTATGGATATATGTATATAAGTGACAATTTTAATAAAAAAAACGATTTTTAATTTTTCTTATAAAATTTTATTTTATGCTTTAGCTCAACTTCAACTAACTTCAAAGTTTTTACTGGTTAAAGAAGCAAGTTCCATTTTATTGAATTTAATATTATTGAGAGAGAGCTTAATGTCACTTACATATACATATATCTATATATACATTGTGGATATATATATTATGGATATATACATAAAAGTGAAGTTGGTACTATCTTGTTTATTATTCGAAAGCACTGCAATGTTCAGTCCTTCTTTTATAAATAGTATAAGAAAAATGTTATATTTAATAGTAATTTAAATATAATTAGTTTTATCAAAGTAGTTTATATGAAATTATATAATACATTTATTATACATATCATTATATATTATATAATGATATAATATTATATTATTCACAACTCATTATATAGGAATTCATAACTCACTCAAATTCTGATTCTTCTACTGCTCTCCACTCCTGCGCAATCGGTTATACCAGTGATAACCGAAACTTTATGTTTGAAGAGATTTTTGTCTATATAAACAAAATTATTTTTATTTTTCTTAGCAAAGAACAAAGTGGGCTGTAAGATTAAGACTGGAAATTAAAGTATCTGCAGATTCGATTGCAAAAAAATATTTTAAATTTCATAGAGCTTAAATCATCTGGTCTATGTCTTCCCAAAATTATTTTGCTTAAAGCGAAAGTAATCATCCCTAACGAAATTCATATATATATATATATATTAATTGACAATAACAGAGGATTACAGATTTCTTCGTTTATTTGTTCGATCGTTTGGATCACAACTTTGTTCAATAGATTGCGAAACAAATGGAAAATCAGTCGTAAGTCGCTTATAACTGCAAAAAATAATTGACGATGAAATAGTCTATTGTTTGTTGCACAGGGTTTGAATAAACTAGTTTTATTTCTTAGAAAGAAATCATAAAAAGTAGACAATTTTTAAAAATAATTATATGTATAATTTAATATTCATATTTTTTTTATTTGAGCTGTTTCATATTATTAGATGCTTGGGCCAGGAAGTATCATAAGATATTACAACCCAACATAATAAACTAATAAACTACTACATTTTTAATAATCATCAAATATTTTCTTTTAAATAAACTTGCTATTTACTTACCTAATATAAATGCTATATATGTAGACACTTATTGATAACCAATTGGTTCAATAACAACTATGCCAAGATCAATGCAGTAACAAATTTTGAAACCTCCAGCTAGTTTCAGTACGCAATTTTTACTAATTATAAAAACATCACAACATTATAATTATAAAAAATTATAATTAACTTCAGGAAATTATTTATTTTACGCATTTATCTTATTGTACAAACTTTTTTAATATAAAAAAATTTAATCTTAAAAGTTAGGATACGCATATAAAAGAATTGTTGAAAGTATAGTACAAATATTTCACAATATTTTAAACCAGCAATCTTTCAATTTCCTGTTGAATTGTTGTAATTTGCGATTTCAGCTGTGAGCCTTCGTTGGTCGTTACTGAGCATGCAACAATTGGTCGTGAAATGCCACAAGCGCGACCCAAGGCCTGCTTCGAACGCACAAATATGTAAGGAACGTTTTTGTCCTCGCAAAGTAATGGCAAATGCAACAAAATTTCAATTGGTTCAGCATCTGCAGCCAGAACAATAATATCAGCTAATCCGCGATTCAATGTTTTGGTTGCCTCATTGGCGCCTTTACGCAGTTGATTGTAATTAAGCGCCTGTTGCAGCAGATTCATTATTTTCGCAGTTAGTTGTGCGTCCGCTAGCGGGAATGCTTTGGGATTTACTTCGTCAGCCTACAAAATAACAATGTAAATTTAAAAATATTAATATAATCAACAGATTTCGTACTTACCATTATTATATTAATTTAAATCAAGTAATGAATTTTATCACAGCCTCTCTGCAATATTTCGTGCTTCACTGAGGGCAAAAGAATGCGTTCGACACGTTCCCACAAGCACGTGCAAACAAAAGTACACAGAGCGCTGTTATGTACTAAATGTCAAAAGCGACTCAATTTAGTACTCGATGAAGGGTTGTATTTGACTATTTTAAAAAGAAACTTAAAAATATTGAATGCAGTAATTATATGACAGTGACATCATAAATTCTCCAATTTAAGATACAATTGTATGCTAATTAATTGCATATGTCTTACAAAAGTGTTTGAGATTATTTTGTTAAAAAACTACAATTATTTACTAATTGACTTTATTCAATACCAGCCATTTCTTATATATTGGAGAATATAACCAAATAAGCAAGTGTTATTAAAAACGAACAGAAAAAATATTGATAACGAAAAATTAGTTTCATATTCATTTTTATATATATGTTAATTCAATATAATATTACTTTTGGAACTGATTTTAAATTTATATTATATATTAATTTGATTTTAACAACTTTCTGATAATATTGGTTAAAAAGAAAAAAAGCAAATGTTAATTTTTAAATTGTTTATATATTTTTAATACTTTTTTTTTGTAAACTAAACAAGTGCTTTATTAAAGTAATTTATTAAGCTCGGTAAATACGTTTTCACGTAGTTATATTTTATATTAGCATAAATCAATTTATTATAATAATCAATATAAAATAAAGGTTTTTCGAACAGTAATGAATTGCAATAACAAAATTGTTATAATTTTTAATTAATTATATTTTTGGCTGGCCATATAGCTCTTTTGAATATAGCCAAGTACTCATAATAGTGGCCTTTTGAAATTATTTATTGCATGATTATTTGTTGCATAATTATTTGTAAATAATTCAAGCTTCCCATTTAGCAGGGTACAAGTTTAACCCTTCGTACTTACAGTCACAAAAAATTATCAACGAATAATTAAATATAAGAAATAAATCTAAAATTCCAGTTTTAATTTCAGCTTTACAATGCAATATTTAATTTCAATGTTATTCAATGTCATACTTTAACATAATTCTTAAATAATTAAGTTTTTCGGTGCAATATCTCGAATATTCTTGTTTGAGAAATATAACTGATTGCTACATAATTTGTCAGTTTATTGCGAAAATACGTTAATTGTAATATTGTAAGTATACACTTATATTAATTGTTAAACCAAAAAAATATTTTTAAGGCATTAAATTTTTTTTTAATTTTACTGATTTACATATTATCATTAAAAATTTATGTGTTTTTAAAATTCTTAATATCAATATTTTATTTTGCATTGAATCACATGTGTATAATTCTAATAAAACAAATTTGCCGTGAAAACTATAAGTTGTGAAAGGATATTAGTATTAGCATAGTACAAATATGTATTTCACCAAAAGCAGGATAGATTATATTGTCTTACATATTGTTCACCAAAAGAGTAGTGGTACGTAACATTTTTCTGCACAAAGAATATATTATGATTGAATTTTAAAATCGTTTTTCAATACTACTTTATAAGAATTAATTTTTGTTCGAATGTTTCCTTCAAAACTCTTATTGGAAATTGTGTCAGTATATACTGCGCGTGAATATTGACTTAAATAAGAAATTGACATCTGTCTAAAATTTTATTGTGTGAATGGTGTATAAGGCAAAATATATCTGTTCTAACATTCAGTATTTAATTATATCATAATCAAATTTGTTGGACTTGCTAACAGTATGTTTTCACTGCTTTCTTTGTAAATGTAACTGATTAAGAAAATTTCGTTCATCATACAATGAACTTCCATGCATTTTTACTTGCTTAAAAATAAATTAGGGCAAATTTGAATAATAATGTTTAATGTAGCCCTTAAAAATAAATTTTCTATAAGGGAAATGATGAAATATTTGTCATGCGTTTTATATTTAAAATGTAAAAAAACAACAGTTAATCTGTAAATAAACATACTAAGAAAGTAAGCATATAATAAAATCTTTTATATATATACGTTTACAATATTAATAAATCAATTATATATACATTTTTTTGTGTGATACATTATTGAGTGAAATTTACGCAAGAACAGAAAATCTTGAATTTACTTAAGTAACTTACTAAGTAAGCAGTGGAAACATGGTACGGATTATTTGATAACGCTTGTGGTTTGCACATTTTACATTTGTAAAATGTTACGCTTCGTTCGTAACCAAATTTCGAATATAAAAAAATTTCGCAGCTTAAATAAAATATGTCAACAAGTCAATAGGAAAATACATATCTGTGTTATTGAAGCACTTGCTAACACTGTATAATTCACATTACCTTATTTCTTTTAACTATATTTATCAAATTCCTTATACTAGTAAAAACATTTCTTACACTTCTCTTATCATTCATAGTCATAAATCAGATTCGTACTATGGGTTGCCAACACTTTATTTTACTCATACACAAAATGAAGTACATAAGGAACAATTCTTACAAAACTATATTCATTTTCTAGAACATTTATATTAATAATACATCAAATTATATTGACATTGATAATACATTGCAGTTAATTAAAAATAAATTAACACTTATTTTAGTGTAAATAAGTAACTTTTGTGAGAAAAACTAAAGTTAATTTCGTTAATTTGTGGAGCTTACTATTTTGAATTTGGGGAATAATAAATTTAAGTATTTATTTTAATATTCTAAAAAGGTTTAAAGCAAACTGTTATATTCTCAATTAAAAACAAATAATTTAAGTAGTTTATTTTAATGTATAAGCCTTCATTAAAATAAATAATTTGACTTGATTAAATTAACCAAAACAAGAACCAACTAGAAACTATAACATATATCTTAGAACTAGCACTATTTTATATTGTTTATTATTTAACTAATATATTTTTGTTTTTATATTTTATATATACAATCGTTTCTATATTCTTTTTACAAAATATTTTAGTTTTAAATCACATGTTTTTTCAATTATTAGCATATAATGATCAATTTACTACTACATGGATTTTTCGGCAAACTTTTAAGAAATTTTTTTTACAATTATCATTTTATATATTTTTTATTTTTTAAGTAAAGTTTATAAAATTTCTATCATTAGCTCATTATAATGTGAACGTTCACTCATTATTATAAATGAGCAAATGCCTAAACAAGTGTTTAGACACTCTCAATGTACTATAATGCTGAATTCACATGAGAGTTTTGTTTGTTAATTTAGCTATTATGTTTGTAATTTTAGCCATTAATTGTTATTGCTTTCAATGAAAAATATTAGTTTTTGACAGCTAAAATTACGAACAAAACTCTCATGTGAATGTAGTATAATAGAATAACTCATTTGCTCAATATTTGTGTATCATATGCATTTCTCATTAAAGGCCATAGTATTCTCCATTTAATAACAATAATATAATAATTCCGTTGCTTGACTTATATGTGCAATGTGTATTTCTCACGAAAAATATTATATAAATTCTCTTGCACAACTTCTATGTATTGTGTATATATCTTACAAAGGACCACAGTATTCCCCACTAAAAAACAATAATATCGTGTCAAATTTTGTGTAATTAGAAGTATTCTGTGCATTTTTGTAAAAACAGATGGCATCAATTACACTTTGTGGTTGTCACGCGAATAAGTTCAATTCAGTTGCAAAGGAAATATCATTACGGTCGGATGTGTGTGTATAAAAAGCTTAAGTACGGAGTAGGAAATTAATAAATAATCTACAAAAATATAGAACTAAAAATATTTATATCTTCAAAACTTAAAACCTAAAAAAATTAAGTGGAATGTTATTTGGATTGTGAATAACAGTTACTAGAAAATAGTACAAAAATTGAACTTAGTGAACTATTTTTTCAGTTTTCAATTCTGCACCACAAAATCATTCTATTAAGAAGGAGCAGAAAGAATTTTTTTCACAAAAACAACGGTTGAAGAGCTTAACTCAAATAAAAAATCAATTATTTATTATTATTAAATATTTAAATGTGTGTCTTTAAACTGTTTTTATAAGTAGCAAACAATAATGTATCGATTATTTAACGAAAACGAATATGAAATAATTAGCAAATACTGATGGAATTTTTATAGGAGTACAAAAGAGAATTGAATATTTTTTTTAATGTGCGAACGTGGCCAATAAAGAAAAACAAATAAATAAATGTTATTTTATTATTTAGTGTACCTTAAACAGAAACATATATTTTCATAAAAAGTGCAAAGTTAATAATAAAATTCTTTGAATATGTATAATAAATAATTAAGAAAAATGTATACATACGAACGCAGCCAAAGTGCGTAAAAAAGTAAAAATATGAAAAATTATGAGAAAAGAGAGCAAAATGCAGTGTTCGTGTTGAGCTGTGCGCACTAAAAGCTACCAGCCAGAATTTTGTTTGTTATTCTTTTTTTTTTTTTTATTTTTTTTCTTGTTTCTTTTTTTTTGTTTTGTGCTCAAGGGAGAGACGGACTCTTGTTGAATATTCACACAGCACAGAGGTGTGCGATATATGCAAAATTAAAAGAAAATATCAGAAAAGTGAAACAAGTGAGAAATTGTTTTTGCTGCTGTTGCTAGAAGACCGATCGCAACAGCACTTGTGCTTGTGCTTGTGTGGCTCGTATGGCTCGTATTAAGCAGCAACAGCATTCCTCGAACAAAATCGCTTTCAGAAAATTAGTTAATGATTTGACGGGAAAAAGTGCAGGCGGACGGGTTTAATTAAATTAGTTCAAATTAAAATAAATTTGATTTTGATATGAAAGATTTGTGTGTATTCATTCTAGTCGTCAGCTAAATAAAAATGAAATTATTCAAATTGATAAAAGTATTTGTTTAATTTTTGAACGCATACGAACAGCTGATTACATATTAAAATTACAAAAACAACCAAACGAAGCAATGCTGACAAATATTAAATAAACGATTAATACACTTAAACGTGGCTTTTAGTGAATTTGGAATTATTGATAAAAAGAAACATATATTAGTACTAGTATTAAACAATCTCCTAAAATGTTTTAGGTATCTTAGAATAACTAACATTTACTTGGCTTAATGCAATTTAGATTTCAATACTGCGTAGAAATTGATGGCACTTAGTGTGTTCCCTCTGCTTCACCAAGTTCTTTTGGGTTCTTCAAAAAAGCGGTAGTGACCGAATACTTGACATAGCTACAGAGCTAATCATAGTAGAAATTCACTATCAAAATTATTACCAAATATATTGTTTAAAAAACCGTGAATAGAAATTTGTACATAATATAGAAATAATATATCTAATATAGAAATAACACTATCCACCAATCCAAATTCTACATTTCATTTATTTATTTTTTGTATATAATTATCGTGAACCAATTTAAGTATATTAAAAAAAAAACATATATTCTTAAAATAAAATTTTAAAATATATATACCATAAAGCTGTGGTTACATTTAGGTTTCCAAGACTTCTGCCAATATTTTCTAGGCCCCAGTTTTTATTCTATTCACTGTGAATAATTTTGGTCAATTATTATGATTTGTGTTGAATGGCATTTGATCATCGAACCCGGTAGAACCCTTTCACAATCCATTCACACTCCTACAAAATTTCCTCCCTTCTTACACAACCAATACCAACCCACATCCTAACCCATGTATTTGTTTTGTATTTCGTTTTAAGTTATCTGCTTGACAGATCTTTGCGGATTATAACAACAATAGCAGTGGCTTTGGGACGTAGACTAGGCCATTCTAGAAACTAGTCAATTGTTAAACACGTTGGTTTCATTGCTTTCTGTATACCACCTCTGTTATTCCACATTCATTTATTTAATTTTTAAATAATTTTAATAATTTCAAAGAAAAATTTTAATTAAATTTAAAATTAAATAATAAGATGTCTGCATTAATTTATTTAACATATAATAAAAGGATATTTTTAATGTGTTTCAATTCATTCTAATAAAGAAGTACACATCTATATATTAGTAGCGAAATCAATATCAGCTACGTCTTAAAAACATACATCCTGGCAAATAATAAATGAGTGTTCAGATAGAGCAATAAAAAATAGGTTAGGTTTCTATACTATTTTTAATTAAAATTATTTTAAAATTAAAAAAAAAAATTATATTAAAATTAGTTTATTATATAAAGTTAGGTAAACTGGAAGTACCGGCCTTGTGCTCGAAGCCCATTTGAGTTTAAATAATGACCTATTGTAATACTATAGATTAGCATTGTTCATATGCAGACCAGAAAAAACCTCTAAAAGGATTGTAGTAGTCAGCATATGAACAACGCCGGAAAGCACCATTTCCCCATTCAGGTGAAAATAAACTAACCTGACAAGTCTATAAACTTGACCAAGTCCTTAATTTTGTGGAATAACAGCTCTGTGTTAATAATATTTGTTATTATTATACACATTTGTTTTTCTATTATTTTTTTCTAATATATATTTATTCTTTTCGTCATTAGAACGTATCAAGACTTTCGACAAAAAAAAAAATAAACTTTAATATATATTATATTAAAAGAGAACACTAAATTTCACAAAATATTGTTTATTTCCTTTTCTTTTCGTAGAGCATAACATCTTAAATTCTCCTATCTCCAAATGTTCCTTGATAATATGTTTATTTAAATATATATATATATTAAATATATTATATATACTATAAACATATTATATGTATTAAATATATATATACTTTAAACAATTATATATATCCAACATCTAAGTGATGTATTTATTAAGATATTTGAATCAGAAACGATGTTAGGTTATTTGTCGTCTGGATTCAAAATATTTTGGATACACTTTTTTAAATTTCATAAGACATGATAAAAAGTATTTACTTTTATTATCATTCTATAATGTGTAAGACTAGAGATGAGTGCACAATTTTCCTACTGACAAATTTAACTGATTTTGACTTCTTCTCACTACTGTGCCTGGAAATAATTTTAATATGTGTTAAATTCCCTTTAGGATCTCTTACTGTCTTTGTTCTTTGTACTCATAATGTATGATAACAGCGATATAGAGATATAATTCTATGAAGCCTAAATATTTTAGTAGTGTATTATAATATGTAGTTTTTCAAATTCACTAAATGTTTGACAAATCCACAGATTTTCACAAGTGTATTTAAATCATAGTTATAAGCGAACTCTTGTTTAGATCTAAGTACAAAGTAAACTACAATAAATTCAATAAAGAAACGAAAACACAAAATACAAAAACAAAATAGAAAAAATTTAAAAAATCCAAGAAATTAAGTTGAACTAATTAAAAAAAAAAACGCAATACAGTTAACAAAAAACCCACAATAAAACAAAAAGCCATACGCGTTTTTCATTTAGACGCGTTGGAGCAGATATAATTTTTTCGTTTGCCGAGTTTTATTAAAAAATTCAAAATTGCTAAATCTATTTTGCAATTCTTAAAAAAAAAGAAATCGCATCACAGCTCTAGTAGCAGTAGTGAAGGCAAACATCATAGCCAGCAGCAGGAATCGGAATCGCATAGTCCCGACGCGCCGCCGGCCGCGCCTTCAGACGCGTCCTTTTCGACTATTCATAAGTCGTCATCGACGCAGCAGCAGTTGTCAATCGGTTCGGAAACTGGGCCAAATCGTTCATTGGCATCAGCATCGTTTTCGAACGTAAACGCAAACCAAAAAGGCAACAAAATAACACCGCCCACGGGCCAGCACTCTTCCTCCTCGTCTCCTTCGCAGGCCGCAGCGGTCGACGCCGACAACTTGGACGCCGCCAGCACCTCCGCGCAAGTGTCCGCCTCTGCAACGTTTCGTCTATCCTCTCTGACAGGTACCATCTCCAAAATGGGTAATAACGCTACCACCTCCAATAAGAAAGTGGACGCCGCCGAGACGGTTAAGGAATTTCTTGAGCAAGCCAAAGAAGAATTTGAAGAGAAATGGCGTCGGAATCCCACAAATACTGCTTCACTTGATGATTTTGAACGTATCAAGACTTTGGGCACGGGTTCCTTTGGTCGCGTCATGATTGTTCAACACAAGCCAACAAAAGACTATTATGCCATGAAGATTCTTGATAAACAAAAGGTAGTTAAACTGAAGCAGGTTGAGCATACGCTTAATGAAAAACGTATCCTCCAAGCCATCCAGTTCCCGTTCCTCGTCTCATTACGCTACCATTTTAAAGATAATTCTAATTTATATATGGTGCTAGAATATGTCCCAGGTGGTGAAATGTTTTCGCATCTACGCAAAGTTGGACGGTTTTCAGAACCACATTCACGTTTTTATGCAGCACAGATTGTACTCGCTTTTGAGTATCTTCATTATCTTGATTTAATATATCGCGATCTTAAACCTGAGAATCTGCTAATTGATTCGCAAGGCTATCTCAAGGTAACTGATTTTGGTTTTGCTAAACGAGTTAAGGGACGCACTTGGACGTTGTGCGGAACACCCGAATATTTAGCTCCAGAAATTATTTTGTCGAAGGGCTATAATAAAGCTGTTGATTGGTGGGCACTTGGTGTGCTTGTCTATGAAATGGCAGCTGGCTATCCGCCGTTCTTTGCTGACCAACCTATACAAATCTATGAGAAAATTGTATCGGGTAAAGTGCGCTTCCCGTCACATTTTGGTTCCGATTTGAAAGATCTTTTGCGTAATTTGCTGCAAGTTGATTTAACTAAACGTTATGGTAACCTAAAAGCAGGTGTAAACGATATTAAGAACCAAAAATGGTTCGCCTCAACAGACTGGATAGCGATCTTCCAGAAGAAAATTGAGGCGCCATTTATACCGCGGTGTAAGGGTCCCGGCGACACAAGTAACTTCGACGATTATGAAGAAGAGGCGCTGCGGATTTCAAGCACCGAAAAGTGTGCCAAGGAATTCGCCGAATTCTAATTGCTTAATATTTTTAATTGCCTTTTGTTAATATTCCAATTTTACAAATCGATTTTCATTTGTTGTCACACACCAAGCGGCAGATTCAGTGTAAAAGGCGATAAACATCCTTCATTCAGAAATATAAAATGAAAATAAAATTATAAAACTCTTGTAAGCAAATAACCGTGAAAATATTAAATGAAAATGGCAACTGTGCGAATAAAACCTTTCACTTTTAACACCAACTACGACATCTTCCATAAGAACTCAATAAGAAGGCAACCACACAGCTGACCAGGTGACCTGTTTCGCAATTGTTCCTGCAATAATAATATGTCATAAATGAATGATGTAATATTTTTACATAACTGGCGTCATACGTTAAAGGATTTCTCTTACTGTATGGAGAGGACTAAAAGTTCTAATAAATTTTTAGACTTGTCAGTAAAGAGCTGCAGAATATTTAAAATGTAAGTTATACTTATTATTATAGACATACTTGTATATAGATAAGATAAGATATTAAGATAAGTTATACTTGATTTATGTTCTTTAAAATATTGGAAGATTCTGATTATCTGCTTATTAAAATGTGCTAAAATTTATATACAAAACAATTATAAGCACGTAAATAGTTACATTGTAGATTATGCACTTATGTGAATATAGAGTTTCGCATAATCAACACAAAAAGTGTTGGAGAATAGCATAAAACAGTAGAAGAATAAAAAACAAATTCTTATAAAAAATTTATACTAAGAACCTGTTGTCAACAGTTGATAAAAAGACAGATGTTATAGATTATAGAGTCCTGTCTAATCTACACAAAAAGTGCTGGTGAGAAGCACAAAAAGGCTGAATAAAGATCAAATTGTAATAAAAATTTAATAATTATACGGAGGTGTTCCCAAAAGGTGACAAAGAAACAAATGGAATAGATTATGCATATTTATTTAGTAGATTGTGTACCTATTTGATTTTTAAACATCTAAATAGGTGATCGGTTATATGAATACCTCAAATATGTTTTTAATTATTTATTTTATTTAGAATAAAATAGTTTATACAGAATGTTTGAAAATACTGAAAATCTTACAAATGTTCTTCAAGAACTTGTTGCGTGTGTATGGACTTTAGTTCCACATTATATTATGTTCTTATGATATTTTGCTTTCTATGTATATATTGTTTTTTTTTGTATTATACAAAGCTGATTCCTTAACAAAGAATAAATTAAACAGAATATCAATTTTGTGTTTCTGATAGTTGACATAAATAAAACACACTTATGATCAAGATTTGCATTAAATTTAACTAACAATATTGCTTGGCTCCTGCCATTAGGTCTAAAATATAACATCATTCAAATATTCTCCAAGGAATTACATATAGTATTGTAGCACTTTTTTTAGGATTAAATTTGTCAATTGATTTTGGGAGACTAATTAAATTGATACATACATAAATTCTAACTTCTTTTTTCTCTAGTTAGAAATCAGATCGATCTGTTAAAGACGCCGTCTTAAAGACATGGAGACAAATCTTTGATTGATTGATTTTTAAAGACAATTTCGAATAAATGAGTAAAAAGTCTCTGATGGCATTTTCTGTACGTTTCTTGAAGACTGAAGAAATTAAGAAGTAAAAATGTTCGCATTGTAACTTTGTTACGCTTGGTTATATCTTTTATTTGTACTATGTGACTCTTAACTTTGTATATCGTTTCTTGTGTAATTGTTTAGTGAGACGAACGCTATTCTGGGGCGTTGTTGAAGATAGTGTAATCAAAAATAATACGTGCAACTAGGTCCCTCTTATTTTCTCCCATTTTAGTGTTTTTTTTTTATAAACACAGCCCAACAAAATATTCATCATGTACCATATATGAATTTTTAATCTGGGGAATTTATGCAGTATGGTCTGCTGCAAAAGTTAACTTATCGAATTTAAACTTTAAAAATTATGCATTAACAATCAGCATGACAAAATAATAGATCAATAAATAATGAATAAGTGATAAACATCTTTTATGTCCCTTTATCCATCCATCTGTTTATTGAAATCAAATTAGTCTCTTAATTTTAATTTTCTTAATTTTTTTTTTTTAAATATTTAATCACTTTTTTGGTGCTATAGCACTTTTAGTAGCATTTTGAGTTTTATTTATTTTATTTTTTTTTTTATTACATTATTTAACTTGTCAGAGTATGTTCAGCTGGCGTGAACGGAGTGAAGGGGTTTATTTCGTAATTGTTATAAATTCAATTTATTGAAAAGATTCGTATGCAATTTGACATCTGTCATAACTTTTTAAATAAATGATATTGACGATTATTGAGTTAATAAAATGAAACATTGCGGTGTCATTTTGTGAATTTTGTCATATAAAACTGTCAAATGGAAGAATTATTTCATAAATAATTATTTAAGTAACTATATGTACCCCTAGTACGTCCTACTGTTGCAGAAAAATTGTGACGCCATTTTATACATTTATGCTCTATTTTTAAAAAAATGGGTCTTAAAAAAATTATATATCGAATAATAGAAGAATATATCGCATAAAATAGAAGAATGCAGTATAGGCACAATATTTGTACAAGATACGAAAAGAGAATACCCGCTGCTACTGTTACCAAAGAAAAATCCCATTAAAATCAGTATTTGTGTGATAACATGGACAGAATAAGGTGGATCCTACTACAATCCGAATAGCTATCTCAAATGAGTGTAGCTTGTTAAGAATTAAAACCTACAGTTAACTATTTTTATGGCGCGAAAAAATATTAGACTATATAAATTTGTACAAGGATTTCAAATGATCCAATAAGATTATTCCAATCAATATTTCTACTCAAGTGAGCTTTATTGTTAAAGATTATCACTCCAACCGAACCTTACCCGACCTAACGGAAACATTGACTGACTTGACGCTACATGTCTTACTTCGAAGAACATTCATTGAAATATAGACTTTGCGAGACGATTTGACATCAGTTTTATGCTCAGAGCAAGTGTTTTTTCTATTGCCTGCTAGCACTAAACGCGGCGTTAGAGCTGCTTTATGGGTTTCGAATATTCTTTGAAAAATGTGCGCTGGAGTACATAAATGGGCGATGCGTTGTGTTGGCATTCGAACGAGTTTTTCGTTTCGAAGCGTCGTTGCCAGTTTTCTGTTATGTAATCATTACAAATAGTTTTCAATAAAAATCCGTAACTTATATTTATTTTTCTAGTCGCAAGTTTACATAACGAAAATATCTTGAGTTGAAGAAGCTTTTTAGTAAACATTTTAGAACTGTCACTCTAATACCTACGAACAGCACATGTCTACCTATAGCACATCATACGGCATACCCGGTATACCCCGAAACAACTTACAAAATCCAATTTATACGTGACCTACTTCGGTACGTTCATATTTGCGACCAGAAGCTAAGCGCGCAAATACTGCCTTTTCTAGTCTTCTTCGCAAGTACTGACTTTTTAAGCCTATTGAAAGTACGTACAAAGTAATTAAAAATGCGTTAAAAGTAACACGATAAAAACTATTCAAAATCAAAAACCATAACATATTACAAACGGAATTATATTCATAAAATCACTAATGAAATTATTTGCTTTTGTCGAACAAATATGAAATTATAAAAAGTCAAACAATTAATGTTTAATACATATTAATACATAATATTAAGTAGCACTTCTCTGCATCAAAACCTCTGTATTAAAACCATAAAGTCAGGTAAAGTAACAACAAACCAATACACAGACGTGATCATCTAATCACGGTTTTTTGTTTTTATTCCAATTCCGGACAGACATACTATAGATGTACTATAGATGTAACGACTACTTTACAGTATCCACTGAAGCAACATAGGTTCAGTATTTTACAAGATTTTATATAATAATATATAATAATTATAATAATAATATATAATAATTATAATAATAATATATAATAATAATAATAATAATAATATATAATAATTATAATAATAATATATAATAATTATAATAATAATATATAATAAACTTTATCAACTATTGTCTAAACCGTTCGTTCCTTAGCGATGGTATGTATGCAAACTTTCCAATTCCAATTAAAACAATCATAAGCTTAGAACTTCATTAGTTAGTCATTAGTTAGCCATAGAAAATATCACATTTATACAAATCTTATATAAGCGAAGACGCCTGATATACATATCTGTTTTTTTTTTCATAATCAGTTCTGCAATTTTACTTTTTTTTATAAATGATTTTCTGTTTCTTATAGTGGTTTTGTTTGAAGGTGTAGACTGAGGCAGTATTATGCAGCTTAAGCTCTTTTTTGATGAGCCTAATCTCTAAGCTAAAATATAGACTATGTTGTTAAAAAAATACAGTAAGGTACATTTTATTTAATTGGTTAATTTTAAATTCTCAAAATAGTTTCCTTTCAGCTTATTAGGTTTCATCCAATGATTTTGCAATTTTTTTAAGCAATTCGCATAATATAATATAATTTGGCAAACTCCTTAAAATGAACTTCTGTGTTCTTCCTCCTAACTATTTGAACAAGTTTAGAAATAAAAAATATAGATGTATGCAGTAGCACGTTTGATTACTTGACCCAGTAAGTCGATATCAGTTTGTGTTATCTATTTTTCGGTATCAATTTCATTTCTGTTCAGATATTAAGTTGATATCGATTTTTTTACAAGTTCACTAATACTACAAGTTGCGTTCTTAAGTAAAAAAGGGTTTTTTTTATTTATATTTCTATTGTATTATTATTATTATACAATTATTATTATGTAATTATTACTGTATAATTATTATTATATATTTCTTATTATATTATTTTTATTACTATTAGTTTATAATATTATTTATATTATTATATTATCAGTATACTATTATTATTATGTTATTATTATTATAATCTTATATTATTTATATTGTTATTATTTTAATATTTTACTTATATTATTATTATTGTATTATTATTATAATTTTAATATTATTATTATCATATTATTATTACTATTATATTATGATTATTAATTTATTTTGTATTATTATTATAAAATTATTATTATTATATAGCTGTTATTATTATATAGCTATTGTTAATTTAATTATTATTATTATTATATAGATGTTATTATTATATAACTATTATTAATTTAATTATTATTATTATTATAATACAATTATTATTATTATAAAATTTTTATTATTATAATATTGTTATCATTAAATAATTATTTTTTTGTAATTATTATTATTATTAATATAATGTTATTATAACATTATTATTATATATATTAATATTATATATTTATATTATTATTATATATATTATTATTATATATATTATTATTTTTTTTACAGTTATTATTTAATACTATACATCGCAACTCAAGTGATCCATTGTGCTCTAATTGATTTCACTGATATTTAAGATTTTAATGGATGTGAGTAC